AGAATACTAAAGATGCCAGAAACGTGGTCACATGTCTATTGGGAACTCTTGTGCCTTTCGTAAGGGATGCAGCTGACTGGTTTTAAGCAAATTTATGTCTAAGTACCTGTCTGTAAAGGGAATTAACAGTGTGGTTAGTGTGATGGGCTAAGTGGTAAAATATCATAGAATGGTTTGGGTTGGAAGGGACCCTAAAGATCATTCCAACCACTCTGCTGTGGGCCGAGACACCTTCCACTAGACCACACTCCTCCATCCAGCCTGGCCTTGAGCACTTGCAGGGGTGGGGCATCCACTGCTTCTCTGTGCAGCCTGTTTCACAGTGGCCATGTCCTGACTCTTTACTGATGTCTGAGGAGATGCTCTTGCCTTTGCCTGTGCCTCCAGGACAGCTCCGTGTGGGACTCACAGCAGAGTGATTTGAGCAGGGTGGAAACCGTCTTCTATTTGCCATTAAACTCCATGCAGGGTGCCAGTAGCTAATCCGCATCAGCTGTGTGCAGGTTGATGGGAGCTACCTTCCCTTAGCAGAAAGGAGGTGGGAGCTCATTAATGATCTCATCAATCTCAGCAGTCCTCTTGCTCAGTGTGGTGTTATTTGACAGTGCAGTCATAGCGTGCAGAGGTAGTTTTGGTCAAGGCAGAAGGATGAAAAAGAACATACAGTTAATGGAAATATTTGCCATGTATGTCTTATGAGTCATTTTATTTCCTCCACTTGCCAAAACAAGTTAGCATGGAAAATGGTTTACTAGTGTAACTGGGAAGACCTGTTTGTGTTCATGAAGCATGAAAACTGCCAGCGGCCTTTGCATCCCAGAGTTTTATTTTTTGTTCCCTTCAGCCCAGGTCTCCCCAGAGAGAGTTTAGTGTTCTGTTCCTGGGTCCCCGAAGGAGGACAGTAGGCATAGGCTTTACAATCCACATCAGTACCAGGTGCTCTGTATACATCATGGTTCTGATCTTCCTCTCTGTGTCCAGCACTCCAGATCTGCTCTGATGCTAAGGTCTTTTTTTTAATAATAATTTTCAAAATAATAGATTCCCCCATTGTCCCTTCTGGACTCAGAACTTAGTCATATTTTCTGTTTTCATTGGCTGTTTCAGGATTTTTAGGTGAGTTGAAAGCCTTTTCATTTTGGCAGGGAAAATAGAGGTGAAATAGGGTTATGGTTATACAAGAAGTTGCCTTTAATCTATGGTTGTGTATGTGTTTGAAAGTTACAACTTTTCTAGCCAGATGATGGAGTTTTCACATGTTTGTAGGTTTTCTCTTCCATTTCAATTATTCTGATGTTCCCAAATTTATTAGACGTGTGACTGATGTATAGGATGCTCCCTGGAATGCTGGAGTAGGCAGAATGGTGTTCAAAGGATACTGTGTGAGGCCCAGATGACAGCCTACCCTCCAGGGAAGTGTAGGGCTTAACAAATGGGCTGAACTCTACCAGAAGCCTTGTAATTGTATATAGTGACTCATTCTTCCTGGCTTATGACTTTTTCCTATGAAAAGTATGTATTTTTGAATATCTAGCAGAATGTGCCATGGTTTAATTATAGCCAATTTTTTAAAATAGTTCTTCTTTTACAAAAGTGCTGTACAAATGCTGTTAGCCCTGTGCATAATCCTGGTGTTTTCTCCACTGCTTAAGGATATTCTGGGAAGGTTTTAGAGAACTCCTGTGTTACTTTCCATAGAGACCAAAGTTTCATAAAAGTTTGAGAATATAATTCAAATTTAGAGGCGTTTTAAAAATATATTCCATCATACTTTTTTTGATCAGAACCTCACACACAATGGCAATTATACAAGAAGGGTGCTGTGTATTGTTTCTTCCCTTATGTGAATTTTTTACAAATGCAGAACATTCTTATACAAGTTCTTGAAATGAGTGGTGCAGGTCCCACATGAATGGGATGAAATTGTGCAAAGGAGATAGTAGTCTACTGTTGTTATTTGCTGAAACCAGCTGGCAACATCACCCAAAATACATAATGTTCAAATTACATTATGTTCATCCTTTTCGGTGTTATGTTCTTTCTCTTACATGTAGGATAGAACAGTGTTGTAAAAATGATCCTTACGGATGTCTCAATTCAATGAGCTCTTGTCAGGAATTCTCTCTATAGTCTCTCCATAGAACAAATGAAAGTTAATAATTTATAGTTATGCAGGTTCAATGCATTTCTGAGAGGATTGAAATATTAGTTGTGTTTACCAGTGCAGTTTTACTCCCTGCCAGCTAAGTGCTCTGGGAGAGATTTGCTACCACTCTTTAGCCTTTCTAGGCCATCTCCCTTAGCTGGTGTTTTTGGACAAGTCAGGTGCACATCCTGTATTATTTACAGTTACTTTGGACTTAATACAGAGCTTGTTTGTCAGTCTTGTAGGCTTCTGCTCCTGTGGTTGTTGGGGCATGTGGCAGGTCAGGTTGCACTTCACACACTCCCTAGAGAGCAAACTAAACATCAGTTTTCTTCTCCAAACCTCCTGCCTCCTTCATTACACCAGGAGGATACTGTAGGATTCCTGTCAGTGAAGGGAAGAGGCAAAAAGGCAACCTAGAAATCCAGTAATTTATATTTTGTAATAATGAAAAGCATCTTGAAAGGGGAGTAAAGAGAGAATGTGGGTGTGAAGTGTTTTGTGAAGTTTGTAGAAGTAATCACATCGATACATTGTGAAGATCCTAGAAATACAAGAATTGAAATGCTGAAACTGAGAAAAGTGAGGTTTCTGTAGGTACTAACACAGTTCACAGGAAGTGCTGACCTAAGAGTGTGCATGTTACTCCAACTTTGGCAATTTTTCATGTTCTCCATTTTTTTCCTAACACTAAATCTCTAGGAGAGATTTTTGTGGTGACTGGGAATTTGATTGTTTTAAACAACTCACCTGTGCTTCTTTAAACTAGGATTTCTATCAATATGTACCCATAAAAAGAGGTCTGATTTAAAAACAAAAAAGATGCTGAACAAAAGCTTTGATTCAGCAAGATTTGGAATACTCTGGCTCAGTTCCATGTCACACAAACACAAGCAGAGGTTTAATTGTATGACAACATAGATAGAATTGCTCATGTGTATAAAGTGCTTTGTGCTTAATTTTGTTAGTGCCAGCTGCTTGGCACTTATTGGGGTTAAGACCTTTGATCTTGTTCCTTTTAAAATTGGTGTTAGTTCAAAATGATGAAAAGCAGCATTTTTCAGGAAAAGCAAGGAGAGGTACTAAGTGTCTTCAATATGTAATGGAAATATTTTATATGGAAATGGAATGAAAGAGAGCAAGTCAGGACTTGTTGCTTATGAATTATCTGCACTGAAAAGAGGTCTCTTTGAGGGTACCAGGTACTTTTTATATTTATTTATTGAAGGAGTTTGTGTATGAAATTTCTTTTATTTCCAAAACAACACGAGCATTTTCATCAAACTGATCTTTTAGCAATTCAATATGTTCATCTGAAAATCAAGGCATTTGATTGAAAGACAAAAAATGGTTGGGTGAATTCAAGTTAGATATTGAAAAGATTCACACAGGTGAATGTATAAATGAGTAAAGGAACAAACATTGCAGTGATATATATAGTCTAGAATAAACACATTTGATGCTCTAGCTGTTTATCCTGTGTCAAAAAATGCTACTGGACCAGCAGAAAAATCATAGTTATAAATTATGAGAATAAAAATTCTTAGGTTTAAAGCTTTCAACGTGTGTGTACATGGAGTACTGAAAATGCTTTTAGAATATAAAATTGTATCCAAAGAGTAGAGAAATAAAAGTACTTGAGAAGATAATTTTTGAAGTTTTCCTCAACAAATTACAGATGAGAAAGCTGATATCATTGGGCATGTAGAATTCTATTAATGATTATTAATTACATATTTTTTCGAAGTTATTCTACTCATTAACTTACAAAATCAATGTTCTGCGAATTTGCCACTTGGTGGTGCCAAATTGATTTATAAATCACAGATGTGAGCTGAGACAAGCTGTTGAAGTTGTATCTGAGGAGTGTACACTAAGATACACAAGTTTGGTCGGAAAACTTTGATTTTGTGATAGCACTGGTGCAGCTGTACTCTGCAGCACTTCTGGCAAATTCCTCAAGCCCTGTATCTCGAGTACCTCTCTGCCCCTCCATTACAAGAGAGAGTAAGTGTATAGCAAAGCTACATCTATGAGAATGGAGTTTCAGCAACATTTCTTCCATACCCCATGCCCCTGGTGAAAAATAGTTTGGATCCAGTGATATTCCAGGCATAGTGCAGAATATGGCTTTGGGGTTTCAGGAGGCAGCTGCAGGTGGGCTCCTTGCACTATTATTTTTGTAGGTGTTTCACTAGAGTAGTTCCTGTATAGTTGTGGTTTTAACACTGCCAGAATTTCCACAGGTTTATCACTGAGCTCTGTATTCTTGAATTGAAGGGTCATGATTATGCTAAATATAAATTTGAACAAAAAGACTCACGATTAAATTAGCCTTCCTTCATCTCTCAGTTGCAGGGTGGCTCTTCAGCAGCAAGAAGTTTGTTTTATTAAAATGTCTTACTTTGTCACAGTGTTTCATTATCAGTGTTTAGCATTGAAGAATATTTGCACCAGATTTAACGACTTCTTTTCTTTTATTTTTCTTTTTCTCTCTCTCAATACTGCAGTCCCAAAAGAATTGGTGGAGCTTCACTTGAAACTGATGAGAAAGATTGGGAAGTCTGTCACAGCAGACAGATGGGAAAAATACTTGATCAAGGTACAATATGTGTGTTGTATTATTCTGTAATGGAATATGGTTGTGATGAGCAGTTGTGTGAGCAAGCCCTAGTTTGAGCTACTGGAGCCTTGGGCTGTGGCAGCATCAACACACATGCATCAGATCCCAGCTTAACTTGCAGTCTGCCTAGGCTCGTGGAAAAAAGTCTCTGAAAATAGGTGCCATATTCTGCACATAAGAATGTCCACCCTCATAATTGGCTCTTGAGTATTAAGACCCTAAATAAAGAAGATTTAGTAGCCTGCAAATGGGTTAAATTGAGCAGAGATTTATACAGTAGCAGTTCATTTGTATATCACTTGTCCAAATATGATTTAATTATTGTGATTTGGCTGACATTCATACAGGAACCATACAGAGGTCTTGTAGAATGTGTTAATCATAAAAGAAAGTATTGCAGTGATTTGTATCTGCATGCTCAGAATGGTGCAGCTAAGATGAAAATGTAATTATGCATCAGTAAAAATAGAGCATCCCATTGTTTTACATAATTCTGTCTTGGTATTTTAATTGCGACTGTGTCTTTGTTGACACTTTATATACAAATAGTTTCCTGTTTAAATAATTTACACTGCTTCAAAAACTGAAAATATATGGATCGTCAAAACTAATAGGTTACCATTTCCCCTCTGGATATCTTCCATATGTCATTTAATCCACAGAACTGTAATCTTGTTATTGTCTGTACAACTGTGATCACATCTGGCTTAGAAATACAACATCATAGTAATAGCAACTGTACAAATAATGGCACTTGGCAAATCCAGCTGCAGGTCTCCCCCTTAAATGCTGCCTGTAAGCTCTACAGAGGTATGAATTTGTCTGGAGGTTTGTGTACCCTTTAAGATGATGATGTTTTTAGGGCTGGGAATGTGTTGAGGAGTAACCTGCAAAAGGACCTTTAATTCTGACCCATTAACCAATTGTAAAGCATTGATGATAATTTTTAAAAATAGTAATGTAATCATTTGTGTAACTTGTGTGTACTTTGTGTATTACCAGTACTGTGGTTACTGAATTGTGTTAAATTCCTTAATAAACCCAAAAACTATTGCAGCAAACAGAGAAAATCCAACTCTGACTCGTGAACTTATACTCCACTGGAGCCACTTACCAGTTGTGTGGTAAGCAGAAAGCAGGGCGATAAAACAAGTTTGAGGGAGTAGTTTGGAAAAATCTTCTTCAAAGCAATTTGGAAATTCTTCTTCAGGGAAGCAGTAAGGAAACCCTCCCTCACACCCCTATTAAGACCAAGTAAGTGTTAATAAATTCTACTTCATTTAACAGTCTCCAGAGCTAACTTGAAGCTTATTCTGGCCAATGGTTCAAAGGAACCTTGAAGAACAAAGGAATTTGAATATAACTAATTAGAAAGGTATGCTAATATTGTCCCCATTTCAAAGGAATATGATTAATTTAGAAAAGCAAGGAAGAGTATTGGGAAATTTCACAAAAGCCAGGAAAAACTGAAAAGGTGTGGAACCACTGAGACCATTTTTCCCTGATCTGCAGTATTGTTCCACATATTATTGATGACACTCTAAGAGGCAAAGTTGACCTGTTTTTCCTTTGTTAGAAATTACTGATGTGTTGCTTTGATAAAACAGGGCTTGATATATTCTAGATGTTCTTATTTAGGCAGAAACTTTAGTGGAGGACATTCAGACTTACATGCTCTTAATATTTATTCATGTATGTATTTTTATATTTTGTTTATATACCAACTAATTATAAAATGTGCTTTACTTGATTGTTGTGCATATAAAAGAGTATAATAAAAATTGTCTTTAAGCTGTGACTGGTATTTTGACAGATGGATATATTTTGGGATAGGAAGTGAACAAGGTCGTTGAGAGTTCTTCCCTGTCCCTCTTCTGGTGGTGATCCACCAGTATGTGCACTTATCTTTTATGGAAGAAAATGGTTGTAGGTCTCTGTGAGTCTGACTTTCCTCCTCTGCACAAGGAATGTCTAGTGGTCGTGTATGGCTGAGTTAAAGAAATGATTGGTCCTAAGCATTCCAACAACTAAGAGGAAGTGTCCAGCTTAGCTGATTTTGAGAAACATGTAGTAAGGTCACATTGCACTGCCTCCTGACAAAGTGTTTTACTTGAATATTGTCAAACATACCTTACATTTCTCTGCACTGGTCCATCTGAAACCTTCAACCCAAAATCAGCACATTCTAAACGCATTTCTGATTGTTAGAATTCAGGTGTCTGTAGTCTCAGTTGAGGAGACTAATTTTTTGTGTTCCTGTTTTCCTTGTATAAAGTGAACATTTGGAACATGGTAATAATAGTGTGGGATGCCATCATAGCTGCTTTAGAATTATTTGAGAGAGATGTTTCAGCATTCCTTGCAGGGTGGGAAGGTGCTGACCACTCTTGGCATGCAGAAGCCAGCAGTTCCTGCAAGCAGCGCTTTGTTATCAGTGTGAAGTGTCCTCTCTAGGAAGGCAGAAACTAAGATTTTAGCAGAGCCTGGATCAATGAGATCTGTAGTTCAGGGTTGTGACTGTACTTGTCTGGAGAAAGTACAATTATCTGATTTTTAATTGTCAAAATGTAGTAATTTAAGTTTGAACAGATGCTTCATCAGCTCAGATGTCTCAAAGCTTTTGCTTTGACAGTCACACACTTTGTAGAACATGAAGCTTCTCATTATTACTCTCATACTTAATGAGTAAGTAATGAACAGCAACTGGAATATGCCCTGAGCAAGGGTTTTGATATACAGTTTCCCAGTGTTCTTCATATTACATGGTTGAAAAAGAGAGAGAAAGTGGAGTAGCCTCATTTAGTGAGCGAGCAGCAATTGTCTCCTGCTCTCAGCTTTGGCTTGGTATCAGAGAAGTCCCTGTGTAATATTCCTTAACTTCAGAGCAGGAAAAGCTACTCTTCAGCAGGATCCCTTGTGACCAGAGTGCTCTTCACTGTTCTCTGTAGGTCACAGCTTAAAGTCAAAGTATGATCTATGGTGAGGCTGAGCTGACCTAACAGCTTCTACCCTTGTACACTTGAGAAATGGTATCAGTATTAGGGGTAATGGAAGGTTGGTGGTGTGGCTGTGGGGACAGGGGAGGGTAGCAGCCCCTTGGCTTGTTTGGAGCTCAGGTGGAGTTTTACATTATGAATCAGTTAATCTGCACTTTTGGTAGGTGAAATTTAGGATTATTTTTGCTGCTGTTTCCAGAGAAAGCTGCATTCAGATGTGATGGGCAGGTTTCTAAGTAGCTTGGTAACTCTTATATTTAATAATAATTTGTTGATTGGGAGATTGCCCTGTTTTGATCAAGTCCAGCCTTGCGGACTGAAGGGCAGCAGCACCTCATGCACTGATTTGACAGTTGTGATTCAGCAATAGCAGTTCAAAATAATTCCAGCTGCAGGTGTAACAGTGATCAGCTTTTGCCTCCTCTGGAATAGCCTCACTGACTGGACATCCCACCATGCATCCTCAATTTGAGGAGCAGCTTGTCTCTTCATGAGAGTTGTCTTAAGTATGTCTGAGTTGTTTAGGAGGAGAGGGAATTTCTTCTTCACATTTATTATTGGAGCTCATGCTGATTCAGTGTATCTCTCCTCTATTGCTGCTTTTTCTGGTCCTAGGATTCTTTTCCCCCATATGGATGTGGTTGAATCTATTTGCTTTAAGTTGAAATTGTCTATACTTAGAATATTTTAAAATATTTGTCAAGCAGCTTGAAGCTTAAGATAATTTGTAAAGAATAATAATTCCACAGTGTGGAGGGAGTAGCAGTTACATTTGTTACCTGCCATACAGTTGAAGGAGTTAGGGGGTCCCAAGAGAACCTGGCAACTTGTCTACTAAGTGCTGCAAGGAGATATAATAGGAAGTCATGTCTGCTTGAGAGAATTTATATTCTAAATAGACAGAAATAGAAAAATGTGAGATATGTGCACAGCAAAGACAATTATACCTTCCCATTCCAGAGTCATCCTACCTAATTTAGGATATTTAGAGAATGTGGTAGAATCAGGACCTCGATGATCTCCTTTTCCATAAAAATTCTATAGTGCTTGCTAACGTGCCTCAGTTTTACATTTTGTTTTTCTGTAACAAGACTTTCTGACTGCAATCCCAAAGAGATCATGTAGAATTAATTACTGTATTAAGGTACTACTAATGAAAAAGTTTAAAGTTGATTTTCTTCTCCTAACCTTAGAAATCTGCTTATTTTGTTTCTAACAGATATGTCAAGAATTCAACAGCACTTGGGCTTGGGAGATGGAAAAAAAAGGATACCTAGAAATGAGTGTTGAATGCAAACTGGGGATTCTGAAGGTACACATTCATCAGCTAAGGTTCTAAATTACTGCTTCCTCCCTCACTTTAAGGTTTTGCAAATTTAACTTGACTGAACCATAAGTGCATATATTAAATACATAGCTGATCTTGGAAATAGACATCATATTATTCATTGTAGCAGAATGGGCCCAAACTGCGTGTAACACTTTGTTTGCATATTTTTCACACTTTGTATGAAAGTAGTATCATGCATCCTGCTTTGTCAAGAGCTCTTTGCCTGTGCAATACACACTTTAAAATGTGTTTGTTACCTTGCTGAATTCCAAAGGCAAAATGAGACTTCATGTTTTGTGGTCTTGACAAAATTGTCAGTGTTGGTTCCGAGGTGTTATGGGTTCTATTGTAGAATGAGATCATTTGTACTATGTAATAAAAATTGAGAATAAGCTTTCTAAAAAAGGTTAAAAAAAACAACACAAACCCTTGTATCTCATTTAAAAACATGGTCTGGAAAAACCCGATAGCTACAGCTAACACACAGATCCAACAGAGAGAAACAAGTACCAAATCACACTGAAATGAAATGAGCTGATTTTCTTCTTTCTGTTTATATTCTTGATATCTTACCAGTCTTTCTACTTTTTCAGTATCTCTGCGAATGTCAGTTTGATGACAATCTAAAGTTTAAGAATATCATTAACGAGGAGGATGCTGATGCCATGCGTCTGCAGCCCATTGGTCGGGACAAGGACGGCCTCATGTACTGGTATCAGCTGGATCAAGAGCATAATGTCAGAATGTACATTGAAGAACAGGATGACCAGGATGGATCCACATGGAAGTGCATCGTTAGGTATTCCTTCTTTTTGTTTTGTGGGGTATTTCAATAAGTCTTCATTTCTCACACAGTAGGAGTCATGACAGTGGGATTTTCTGCATTGATATCTATGTTCTAGTGAAAAATCATGTACAGAAATAGTTTACACATTTGTTGGTAGCAGCCATCGCATAATTTGTTTCCTGCTAGTTCAAGCTACAATGAATATGTAGAAAGGGTAGCAAGAGAAGACTGTCTTGAGGATGGTAGCTCCATATTGCTTACTGGCCAGCTAAATGCCTTAGAAAACAGAACACTCTTGCTTCTTTAACTTCAGCTTTGTTAGGAAAGCTATAAGTGGACAGATTTGTTCTTGGGGAAATTATATTGCAATTACTCCTGCTGGAAGGAATCCAGAGGAGGCCATGGAGATGCTCCGAGGGCTGGAGCACCTCTCCTATGAAGACAGGCTAAGAGACTTGGGATTGTTCAGCCAGGAGAAGAAAAGGATCCAGGGAGAACTCAGAGACTTTCTAGTACCTAAAGGAACTCAGGGAAAGGAGAGAGGGATTTGTTACAGAGGCATGTAGTGACAGGACAAGGGGGAATAGCTTCAAACTGACAGGGCAGGTTTAGATTTGATATTACAGAGAAATTTTGTGGGAGTGGTGAGGCAGCAGCACAGGTGGCTTAGAGAAGCTGTGGCTGCCCCATTCCAGGAAGTGTTCAAGGCCAGATTTGATAGTTGCTCAAAAGCAACTTGGTCTTGCAGAAGATGTCCATGGCAGGGAAGTTGGAACTGGATGGTTTTTGATGGTCCCTTCCAGCCCAAACTACTGGAAGGTTATTTACACTGCCGTGGCTTCAGTAACTGAGGGAGTCATACAAAAGTGTTTAAACCACTATCAATGGGCCATAAAATAAGTATTTCTATGATTTACATGTAGACAGCTGATGTGGGGGAATAAAGTAAATGTATCCAGACAAACAGATCAAGAGCTGATCCATGCATCATCTGTCTCTTCCACGCACTATAGACTTCAAAACTCATTGCCAAAAGAAGAAACCAGGGTTCTGCTGAGAAGGTTCTAACACTCCACGCTTCCAGCAGTAAACCACAGTAATGCATTAAGAAATCTGAAATGATTTTAAAACCCATGAGACTCTAGATATTGAGATTGTTGCAGGCTTCCTTTCATTCTGTAAACCTGGGGAAAACAAATTGCTGAACATTGACTTTGAAAAACAGATATGAGAGCCTTATTATTCTAGTCCATTAAGAAAGCAATGACTGTTCAATTATGGCTCAAATCCTTTATAAATTGAGGTGGGTTTTTTTATAGTTGGATGTGTAGTTTAAATAAGGAGTTACAGTGCACTGAGATTCACACTCATACAGATGTGCACCAACATTTTTTGCTGTCATTATTTGAGTTGATGGGAGTTTTCTGGACAACTTGGTGGTGTTTGTTGCATATGCTTAGGATAAGCACTTGCAAAAAATATCTAAATTAATTTGCTGTTTGCTTTTGCAAATTTCACTCAAGTGATATGGTTGCTTCTTTGGTGCATGAGCAGAGAGCTGTAGCTTGTTCTCTGCTGAGAGAAAAAAAGAAATAGCAAAGAATAATCAGTGATGGTTAATGGGAGGACAATAAATAACAATAATAGTAGCAGCTTGGATCCAGACCCAACAGGAATTAAGATGGATAAGTAGATAAGGTCCTTCCAAAGGCATAATTTTATTTTGGTGTGGATAAATTGAAAATTTTCTGACTGCAAAGGTGCAGCCACTGGTGGGACAAGCATTTCACTGTGCTTGTGTTTTCACTATAAAAGTCTGTAAGATTTTCAGGGCAATTCCTTTAAGCAGATAATGTTTGTTTATTCTTTATGAATCCCTTTGGGGTAAGTGGCTTATCAGACAGTGTGTTTTTCTCTTCTAGAAACCGCAATGAGCTTGCTGAGACCCTTGAGCTCTTGAAAGCACAAATTGATCCTGCTCTGTTGAAAAACAACAATTCTCAGCAGGAGAATTCATCACGTGAAAGTCCAAGCATAGAAGATGAAGACACCAAAAAGGGTGAAGAAGCAGCTCCACAAGGTTTTCTGCCTTCTTTTCTCAAACTTTTAAGTGTTTTGCTATGGCAATGTTAGAATTTTCAGCTTAACAAAAAGTTACTGTGTTAGATAAGGACTTAAAAAAATGCAAATCAAGTAAATATTGAATACTTTGAAATTCTGAATATATTGGGAGGTTTTTCAGTGTATATTTAATCTCAAACATTTATTTATAGGAAGAGAGCTGTGTAAAAATGTTTTCTCAGTAACATTTTTTTTTTGGCTGTACATTTTGTATATTATTGTAAATGCTCATTATTGTATGTTTTTGTGGGGCATTGACTGCCAAACTTCTCCTGTTTTAGCAACATTAAAATTTGAAAAACAAAAAAATCTGGTTGTGCAATACCATGATTGAAATCAAGACAGTAATTGATACGGTGTTTATTCTTGCTTTTGAGTTAGAATCAGAAAAATATAGGTTATTTCCTCAAATGTTTCACAGTTGACACGATATTTCAAGAAATAAAGTAAAACAATTTACAATGCTAAAACATTGTAGAAGTGAGGTTGTCCTTATCTGCCTCCACTATATGATTGTTATTAAAATCACAGAATTATTTAGATTGGAAAAGATCACCAAGATCAAAGCCAAGAACCTTTTTCCTTCCTTATTATCATGTCATTGCACGTATTTAGTAACTTGTTTGACTTGTTGGTTTGTGCATTGATTTTGCTAAGTATCAGTCAGCCTGAAGTAATTGACTTTTTAAGAATCTTGTCTTCTTTCAGGTCATGAAAAACTAGAAGATTGTTTCCCCAAGTAGTTTTACCCCAGTTTTACTACCTGGTCTTATTATTTTGTTAAAATACAGGAAAATATTTTACAATCAGAGACAAAATTTAAGTATTCCAGCGTGTTAGTAGGTGTTTCTACGAATGTGTAGAAGTTAACTGGATAGATGGAATGATCCAAGGCTTGTCTTGGTTTTGAGTATCAGAGAGAAAGAATTACTATTCTATTCTCCTTCTTTGCAACAAGCAGCGTAGAACAGAAGAAAGAAATAAGCATTTAGATAAATTATTGTTGTTGTGAAAGTACTAAGAGATGATTATAGAAATGGCAGTAAATTGTGACAAAACTCAGCAGAATTAGATTTCAGTCTAAGGCATTTCCAGTATCTAACTCTGCATATAAGTGCCAACACAACCTGCATAGTTACCAACACTGCAGAATTCATTCCATGTACTGATGGTGCTTTTGTCTCAGTCAAACCAACTTAAATCATCTGATTGACACCTCTTCTTCAGATATGATTTTGCTTTATGTTGAATTCAGGAGCAGCCATTTGAAACATTTTAAATGTCCCTACTGTAGATAATCCCCCGAATCCTGTGGCACACTCACATGGTTCAGTACTTGCATTAGGCTGTGTATTGGTGTAAAATCACCTCTAGGCACAAGTTGCAGAATCTTGGAATAGTTTGGGTTGGAAGGGGCCTTTAAAGGCCATCTAGTCCAACCTCTCTGACTTCATCAGTAGAAGATGAGCTGAGACATCTTCTGCTGGATCAGTTTGGTAGAACCCCATCCAGCCTGACCTTGAACACTTCCAGGGATGGAACAGTCACAACTTTGCTGGGCAGCCTATGCCTTACCACCCTCATGGTGAAGAGTTTTTTCCTAATATCTAAAAATCCCTTCTTTCACTGTAAAGCCTTTCCCCCTTGTTTGTTCTCTCCATGCCCTTGTCAAAAGTCTTGTAAGACCCCTCTAAGTACTGAGAGATGCTATAAGGTCTTTCCAGATCCTTCTCCAGGCCGAACAACCTGTCTCTCAGCCTGTCTCCATAGCAAAGGTGCCCCAGCCCTCTGAGCATCTTCATGGCCTCACTCCTACAGGTCCATGTCCCATGTATGTAATTAATAATGAAATTATTTACATTTGCAGTGATTTGAGTGCTGCCAGTGTGTTCACAGAACATTCCTTAGAGCCTTTCACTTGAGAACTGTAGTATTTCTTCCTTGTGGTCTAGGGATTGTACTGAAAGCCCTGCTAAGATGTGGGGAAAACGTGCTGGAGGACCTGACATTGTTGGCTTTGGCCATTATTCGCATATCGTTAAATTAGTACATGCAAATACATGTAACTTAACCCAATGCTTACATGTTTACTGGCCTGACTGATTGACTCTGGTAGTGTTAGGAGAGCTTGTTCATTGACTGAGTCATTTTGTGTATATGTGATATGTTTTGGGATTAGTTCAGGGAGATAATCTATAGAATATCTGCTGATTTTTGGTATGGAAACATTTTGGGATTCTGGTTGTCTTTAATGAAGTTTGTGAGAAAGCAGTGGTGTTGAGAAGAAGTGGCTGAACAAAGTTTACACAGACAGAAATAAAGTAAAAGTGGCAGAATTTGGACACACAGAAAATACCTCATTCTCACTGTTACAGACAGATATCTTTGCAGAGGCACTTATAGGGGCTCTGAGTGGGGATCCCTTCTATGAAGGGGGAAAAAAACCCAGCCTTGAGCCTTCAAAATGTGCACCTCTAAAGCACCTTACCACTTCTGGAGCCCTAGAGATGCATCTTTACTGTCCTGATACTGAGATTTGTATGGATACATGCCTTGTACTTGAAAATGCAAGACCTATGAATTCCTCCTCACTGTTCTTTTCTAAAACACTTAATTTCTTTGTTGTGATCATTAGCTGTCATATCCTTTCCTCTGTTTTTTTTAAACTACTTTCTGAAGCTCTCATCATGTAAAAAAAGCTATATTAGCTCAGTTGGAGAAGGGTGAGGTAAAAGGAAAAAAAAGTCATCATTAGGTTTGCAGCTGTGGCACACTTGCAAAAGCATCTTCCAGGTGGCAGGAGCTGCTGTTCTGGTATATACAGTGGTATTGTATTTGCTTTTTCTAATTAGTTCTATTTCTGGCTCACACAAAAGGGTTGGTAAAATACAAAAACCCAAAGTATCAAGAGGCTATGATAAAAATAAATAACAAGCTGCAGTGCATAGTGACAAAATAGCTGTATGGTTTATTTGAAAAGCTGGAACTGTACTTCAAGCCCTAATGATCTAAAACTGAGTTAGCAAAGTGGAATAACCTGATTCTTTAAGCTCTGCAAGTTTCCTGGGATATGCTACTATTCATTGCTTGTTTTAAAAACAGCAGATGAAATGAGTGTAGAATATTGTCTGCATGTAGGAGATATAGTCATTGCCTGGAGAATCTGGATGAATTTTGCCGTAAGCCATAATGCTGAATGTCTTTTCTCTGAACTGTTGGACTACAATAGTTAAGTATATCTTGAAATAAAAACATGTACAAACAGGAGACTCATTTCTCTGAGGAATTTCTCTTGAAGGCCATGGAATCTTACACTATATTCTGCTTTCTGAAATAGTCCAGAGACTCAAGTGAGATTTCATTCCTCTGCCTAGGTTTTATGTATCCTCTGGAAGTATTGTGGTAATACTGAAGAATGGACTGAGATGTGTGTTGAAAGAAGCCTAAATCTAGAGTTCTGCTACTGGCTTCTGAAATTTAGGTTTATCTTGGTATATAGCTAGACTGAACAGTGGTTCTAGAGCTAAAAATTGTCAACCCACTTATTTAATGACAGTGTTAGATAAGCCAGATTTCTACTAATTCAGTGAGAGAGGAGTCCTTTTTGTGAGACTTGGACTGTTGGGTTTTTTTAGGTAGCCCTCTGTTTTGGTGAAGTTCTTTGCAATCCTGTAGGTCTCTTGGTTGTTTCTTAGCTGTTTTTCTCTGTCAACAGAAAATCAATTGAAAATCAAGGAAGAAAAAGAGGAGGTAGAGGAACAGCCAGTGGAATCGGAAAGCCTTCCTCCTCCTGTGGTCAAAGAGGACGAAAATGTGCTTAAAATTGAGAAAGTGGAAGAAAAAGAAATTATAAAATTGCCAGTAATAGTGAAATTAGAGAAACCTTCAGAACACATTGAAGAAAAGCAAACTGTCAAGGAAGAAAGTGACTCCTTTAAGGAAAATGTCAAGCCTGTTAAAGTAGAGGTGAAGGAAAACAAAACAGAACCCAAAGACCTAAAAGAAGTAAAAAGCTGTATGGACAAAATAGCAGTTCATGAGCCAGAGAGGTTAGAATTTTGTGTTAATGTCAAAACTCCGCAAGAAATTGTGGAGAAATCTGTGGAGGAAAGTGAAAAACTTAAAAACGACCAACAGGCAAAAATACCACTTAAAAAGCGAGAGATTAAACTGACAGATGACTATGACAGTCCAATAAAAGGGCCCCTGTGTAAATGTGTTACTCCAACAAAGGATGTCTTGAAGGAAGAAGGGAAGCCAGAAGAAGAAGCTTTTAAGAGAGTCCCTACCATTACTGCTTTATGTCCTGATGGGAAGGTGCTAGTAAATGGAGAGGTTAGCTGTGAAAAAATAACCCCGAGTGTCATACAAAATAGTAAGCCAGAACACTCTGCTAGTGCTATGGAAGACTGCACCTCATTGAAAGAGAAAAATGGAAAAAGTGGGGAAAAAGTATCAGACTCCCTAAATTCTGTTAGTAAAATTATAAAAACGTGTGAGATTGAGAAAAATTCAGTAACTGTGCTGAAGGAGATCGGGGCTGTGGTCTCTGAGGTTTCTAATCAGAAAGTGCCTTCAAAGGAGGAATCTAGTCCTGTGGAAAAAGAATCCCTTCACAGTACAGCTACTGAGACAATAGCAGAAGAGTCTTCAAACTCTGACGACTGTGCCAAAACAACTGAAGAGAAACAAGCCACTGATCTCAAAAACGACAGCCTGCCACCACCCAAAGAATGTTCAGAGAAGCTAGAGATGTCCCCAAATGCATCTGCTCCTGCAGAATTGCCTAAGCTTGCACTGGCTGATGAAGAGACTTTGAAAAATAAAGATGAGCCTGAGGAGAAAAACAACTCTCCAAAAGCTGCTGAGATACCTCCTACATCCACTTCACCTGTTACAGTAGAGAAACCTGTTTCAGAAAAGGAGGATTCTGATAGTAAAATGGTTCTACCTGACGAGAGCAAAGTAGAAGAAAAATCCAGCCCTGAAAAACAAGAGGAAGAGCCAGAAGCTGCCAAAACAGAGCCAGATAAATTAGATGATGCCCATGCATCTAATCTAGAGGACTCCTCAGAGAGTAAAAAGGAATCTCCAGAACCTAAAAGCAAATTTAAATATAAGCTAGTTTCTGAAGAAGAAACCTGTGCCACAGAGAATAAAGAAATAACTTCTGAAAGACAAAAAGAAGGAATTAAATTAACAATCAGGATCTCTAGTCGGAAGAGAAAGACAGAAGCACCACCAGAAGAGGTCAGCATTGGGCGCACGTTGAGGCGGTCACCAAGAATTTCCAAGCCTACTCCGAAAGTTGTAGAGACTCGGGATCAGAAGCCTGAGAAGAAGCGACCTGAAGAGGAAGAGGAGAAACCTGCAGCAGCACAAAAACCAGAACGAAAAGAAGATAAAAAAAAACAGGAGAAGGAGACAAATTCTAAAGTTAACAAGGTAAATACAGTTTTATTACTTGGGAGTAAAGAAAACCCCCAGTCTTATCTATAAGGAGAATATACCCTTACATAGGAATCCTGAGGATTATGTTCCTTTGGTCAGCTTTTGCAAGAAACTAACTTTGCAATCCAGTTAGTGGATTCAACCAATTTAAAAACACCCCCTAGGATAGTGCTAATATCTGTTGACTTTTTATAAACTTTGGCAGTTTATAAAATCTGTCACTTAAACCAGCCTAAGTAGACCAAATCAACCTGAGTGAATTCCTCTAAAAAAATGGCATGGTCAGATGTGAGTCTTCTGGCTGTGTGGCTGAATAGAGACTTGTAACCCCTCTGGATTTACTAGATGGATACTTGTTGGTGTCTGGTTGGTCAGAATGATCATAAGCTAGAAAGGAGCCAACAAATGGGGAAGAATAAAAATATTATGACTTCTGTTTCTAAGTTAAGAAGCTAAAGATACTGTTGTGGTGAATTCATGATATAATTTAGCTTTTCTCACATATGTGATACACATTTTCATGTATTTTGATATAAACTTCTGTTTATGCAGAATAGATCTTTAAAAGTACATGAGGTAAATATATCACAGAATGTTAAACGTACATTTGTATGGTGTGCTTCTGAGACTGTATATTTATGAATAACCCTTTATTAATTTATCTTCTGTTTTCTCTGGATATGCAGCACAAAAACAAAGAGGAATAAGGAGTTTGTATTTTTAAGTGCATTTTTTTATATCAACTTGTAAAATCCTATTAATTTTCCATTGCAGCATATTTTTTACTGATATAGTTTTCCCAAAGCATTCACTCATTTAGCAAGTTTCCTTTATGTACTACTGTGTTGGATAACCTTAATAAAATGAACAAACAGTTGATTTTTCAATGAATGGTAACATCTACACTGAAAAATTCTGTCACATGCATGGAGAAATGAAAAACAAATTTTTCATTTAAATATTTTAATTTAAAATTTAAAAGAAAGCATGTGAAAGACTAAGTCCTGAAAGTCATTAGAATTTTGAAGTACTGTTGTTACAGATGTTTTAACTATTTTAAGTTGATCTCTATTTGTGAAAGATCAAGAGATCTAAATATGTGTACTTTTCTAGAGAGATTTTAAAATAATTATGATAGAGGAAGAAATGTGAGACTGTAAAGCTTCTGTCATTTAAACAGGATGAAGAATACCAGGGTCTTTAATAGCTTACTTTTTATCTTGGTACTCCTTTTCTTTTTAAAGATGGGTCTTCTAAAAACTGGATTTGAAACTGTGATGCTGTATGATGAATCCATAGCGTAAGCTTAGACTTTCATGGATTTGAAGTACCTTTGCTGCTAAAGGTAGCAAAGGGAACAGTAAAATCTCTGAACAGGTAGTAACTGATGTTAAGAACCTGAAACAAAATTTTACCAATATGACAAATGCTACTTTGGTACAAGTGAGCCCTGCAGGAGAAATAGAATATTTTGTGCATTTTAGTTTATTCATCTTATTCAGGTCTGTGAATCATTTAGTCACAATTCAGTAAACATTTTGAGTTGAAAAAGCTGGAGAAGTTATTTTCCATTATTTTCTGTTTTCAGTGTCTGTGGGGAGGGGGCAATAAGTTGTGAGAGAATGACAGGTGTGAGAAACAAGTCAGTCAGTGGGAATAAAAGTTTGTCCTGTTCGATATGTTGCTTTAAATCTAAAATATCGTAGTTGGACAAAGTAGTTTAAATAATTCAGAATAGTCTGAATTTTAATTGAAACTTGTTTCTCATTCAAAATATGCTAATATATATATTCAAAATTTTTTCATTCATTATATGAATTCATTCTATATGATAGAAGGGTGTAGATGCCCCTTTGATTAGCAAAAAAGAAGCACCAACTGAACCATGTTTCACTTAAGGAAAATAATAAAAAAGTATAAGTGTGAAAGAAGACCTAGATAGAAATTATGCACTTAAAAGGTGCAGTGATCTTATTTCAGAAACAAATGCATTTTCTAAAGTAAAATAAAATGCATAAACTCTTTGGGGGGCAGGTGGGAGGAAAAAAGAATGTCTTTGGGTTGAAGCAAGTTATCATGAAAAAGTCAGAAAGTTTTAAGTGTGGAATTTACCATGTTCACTATAAAGTTGGCTTTGTCAAAATAGAAAAAAAGGGGCCGAGTGGAAAAAATTGTCTTCCTGCTTTTAAATCTTATTTGAAAATTTCTTTCTGCATGTAGATGCAATTTCTTTTCCCTTTATATGTTTGCATTTTAAGGATCTTGGAAAGACAGTATATTCATTGAAATGCTCTGCTGTAAATTTACTGCAGCTGTTCTGACTGAAATGAATAATTTCACTCTGGAGACAAATATTTTTTTAAGATCTGAGAAGAAACTCTGTGGGCTTCCTTTGTGTTTTTTTTCTTTGAAATGGTGTCTCATAGAGAAGCAAAGTTCGGTGGACGGGTACACGGACACGTGGCAGGTGGAAATACTCAAGTAACGAAGAGACTGAGGACTCTGAGAGTGAAAAAAACTCTGAGGAGGAGGAAGAAGAGGAGGAAGAGGAGGAAGAAGAAGCACCACCTGCTGATGACGATGAGCCCTGCAAGAAGTGTGGCCTTCCCAATCATCCTGAGCTGGTAGGTTTTTGGGGAAAGCTTCTGTGGGTGGATTTGGTGGATTGGCTTTGATGTCTGAAGGCACATCATCCTTCAGGGTGGCTATATGTAGGAAAGTATCTTCTAGGTTTTAGGTGGTAAACTCAGGAGTAGATGAGTTACCCTTAATAAGGAGGGAAAGAAGTTCTGACTGCCAAAACAAAAATAACATAATTTACAATGTTTAATGCACCTTAGCCCATTGAGAATCAGTCTAGGTGAGGCTTTGAGGTTGTGCCTGCAGCTGCAATGAGTGCAGAAGAAGCAACATTAAAAAGAACCTGAGCAGTGGGATGTCTATTTTCCAAGGCATCAATGACAGCCACATAGCTGCATAGTCATCTTCATTGGATGTAGCTGCATCTCACCCTGAGCACTGACAGAGCACAAGAAGATTTTGCTGTTTCTTGTTCTCATTTATTTGTGGTAGATAGCACCATGAATTCCTCTGTTTATATAGGAAGTCATCATGTCCAGTCCTGATATGAATCCAGAAAATAGGCCCACTCTTGAGTGTTTGACAGATACACCGGCATAACTGAGAGAAAGTTCGACTTTTAGGAGGTTAGAGATAAATATTTCAGTAGATAAACACACAGCTTATGCCAGCTTTGTTCTCAAGTTTTATGGAAAGTGATATCTCAAATTTTACCCAACTAAGTATGAACTTTTAATAGCTGCCTAGTTGTGGATGCCCTGCAGGCCTGCAAGACTTTGTCCCTGCTGCCCAGATCATAAAATTATCCTGACTGAGGAAAAAAAGCCAGCATTCCTTTTTCCTGCATAAGAGAGCACAGGGAAAACAGGTAATACCACATCTTGTTCAGATGGAGTTTTCCACTTAGTCTGGGATCTAGAAAGCATTATCAGATTCTACACTAAGGGCACATAGTCTACATAGTCCAGTAGTACTAAGTATTGATGAGATACAGTAAGAGGAAATCTGGTGTCAGCATGGACAATCATGATAGATAAACTTCCCCATAAAAACCATCCTTGGCCCTGGAAGTGTGGTGCAGGAAGAGTGGTACAGGGCTTTTTTTTGTTTGTTTGTTTTTGCACAGTCCAAACACTCCTGCATTGGCTGGGGAAAGAGTTCTGGAGCTTGTTACATGTGAATGCCAAAAGATACTCATGACATGTTTTGTTTGCACAGATTTTGTTATGTGACTCTTGTGACAGTGGCTACCACACAGCCTGCCTTCGCCCTCCACTGATGATCATCCCTGACGGAGAGTGGTTCTGCCCGCCCTGCCAGCATGTACGCTTCCTGTGTGATTTCACTCTTCTTTGCAGCTTTCCTTGTGGTTGTGGAGATTGGCTGGGACTTTAACAAGTCCTTTCTATAATCTTTTTTGTCTGTTAACAAATAGACTGGGATGAATGGTAGAATGCTCATCTTCCTTCCTGTCCGTTAGTAAAACTGAGTTTGTAAAATGGTTTTCTCTTTCTTTGTTCTGCTAATGATGAGTGACTGTGTGTTGCTGGTTTTTAGATGGGAATCTCCAGTCACACTGATTATCTCCCATCTCTGATTAAATCACAAGACTAGTATAGTATTAAAGATACAATGTCTTAATTTTTTCCAAAAGAAACACTTAAGTTATCATCCAGGAGGCAGAAGCAGTAGGCAACAAGGCATGGATCAGTGGCCAGAGCAAGTAGCTGTTTCTGAAGTTCTATTCCTTCTTCAGAGACATTTGCTCAGAAGCTGGTTAGAGAAAGCTGCTGTTACTGATGAATCTCAGGGTATGGTTTGTCTCTGCTGGGTGAGCCAGAGTTGTTGTAGTCAAGTAATAGACAAGTATGAACGTGTATTCCAAGGTAAGAAGCAGGGTTGGTACTTGGGAGGATAAGCAGAAAGTGTGTGATGCTGTTCTTTGTAAATTAATGGGAAACCGTTTGCACACATTTTCAGAATAATCTGCCTGATCCCAACCCCCTTCCTTGGTTTTAGAGAAATTCTGTGCCAAAAGAGCTGTTGCCTGACAGTAAGCTAGTGACATTGGACATGATGTGAGATGACACTATTTGGTGTTGATTTTTAGTTGTCTTCTGAGGCGTGTTTTTAAGTAGTGATGATTTTGAATATGTAAGAATGTTTTCTTTACACTTGTAGTTATAGCATATCTTTGTTCTGTCGCTATTAAAGTACTCCTCAGTATGAAAAATGACAGATGTGTAAAAGGGTGAAGAGCATCCTTGAAAATAGTATAATGAGGGCATTAACATGGACTAAGGCACAATTTGTCAATTAAAAGTCATTTTTGGTTACGGCTCCTTAAGCATTTGGTAAGAAAATGATCCTAAAGGGTATCTCTGCTTTTTGCTGCAGTGTCCACTGAACTCATCTCGTTCCAACCTCCTTTGCCATGGGCAGGGACACTTTCCACTAGACCAGGTTGCTCAGTCTCATCCAACCTTGACTTGATGATGGAGCTCATGTTTTAAAAAGATAGGCTTTATTATGTTTTAAAAATACAGGCTTTATTGTAAAGAGTCTGAATGTTCGTTCAGTGTGAAAATAGCGGTTATAAAATAAACTAACACTGTGTTTCCTTCCTTTAGAAATTACTCTGTGAGAAATTAGAGGAACAATTACAAGATCTGGATGTTGTCTTGAAAAAGAAGGAGCGTGCAGAACGCAGGTACTGTTATTTGGATGCACTCACAGCAGTGCTGTGCAGGGGATGGTAATAGTTGAGCAAGCATTAAAATAACTGGGGACTGGGGAGAAAAGCAGTGATGAGACTGGGAATTGGTAAGACCAATTTTGACTTCCCACTGCTGGCTCAGTGGTGGGGCAGATTGCAAGAAGGGAGGAGAAGTACAATAACGAGAAAAGATAAGCAAATACATTTGTACTAAACGTTGGTTAAAGTGCCTGAACACAAGTTTGACTTTCTTATACCAATGGTTAAAGGGTTTCCAGCACTGGCTCACCTGACTGTCAGTCATGTGTAGAGTTCCTGCTGTAAGCAAATTTAAATCTTGACTTTGCACCAAAGGGCATCCAGATTATTGTGGGATTTGCAAGTTGTTTAGATTCTGTTAAACTCTGCCTAACATACAAGATTATGCAGCAACTGCTGTAGGGTAGTGGGTCAGTGAAGTTTCACAGAATCACAGAATGTTCTGAGTTGGAAGGGACGCACAAAGATCATCGAGTTCAGCTCTTCAGTGAATGGCCTGTGTAGCAATTGAACTCACAACCTCGGCATTATTATCACCCTGCTCTGACCAGCTGTCATCACTCTGCCATTACCAGAGGCTGAATGCAAATGTATTTACTGCATTTAGGAACAACAGCCTTAACAGTTGGAACATTCTATTGGCAATTTTCAGACCTGGAAATGAGGGACATGAAACAGTCTGCATGATTTATACCTTTCAGGACATACTTTGAGTATTTTGCAGAATTTAATAACATCTGTATGCATTATTAAAGAAAACTTTGCATTAATTTTATCTTAAAAGGCAAATTTCACCAGAAGGTGAGACTCTTTTAAAGAAAGTAATTGTGCTGGCTTATGTTTTTTTGCAGGGACTGTAATATTACATCAGATGTAGTGAGTCAGTGCTGGAAAGATGGGAGCACAATCTGTGTCTGCTTTCAGCTTTCTTCAAATCTGTTTGTTATTGCTGTTGCAACAGCAACAATGATAGTGACAGATCAAGTACCAACTGTTCCTGATGTCACTACTTCTGCTCAGTGTGTATCTAGATCATACTGTGATGAAATTATCCATTGCCAGTTCTGCTGAATTTGTAGCCGTGGGAATGAAATTATCAGCTATTTTTATGAGTGAACTCAGCAAATACACAGCCTCCATCTGTGCAGGAGTATGGGATACACAGGAACTCTGCTGCTTTGCTTTATGGTGGGAGTGCTCATTACTAGTAAACAGTATTTTTGGACCTACTTTGGTAAATGTTCTGCTGGCAAACATTACATGGAATGCAAGCTTTTGCCAGTCTGTCTTGCTTTCTTGAAATCACCAGTGTTGCATAAAAACACAATCTTCTGAGAGCAACAGGAGAGAATACAGTTGATATCATAGCAGTTTTCAGTGTCTGAAACAGATGTTTAATAACTGTTTTGCAATTTGATCCTCATATCAAAGAAACCTAATGCTTTATATTGTATGTCATAAAATTGAGGGTTTTAGTTAGTTTCCAATGTTTTTTTCGTAGAAATAAGCTTGAGTTACAATAGGCTTCACAATGCAATAGTTGAGTATTGAAGTCTTCCAAGTTACTTCTGTATTGTAGCAAATAATAAGGTAAAAGGCTGAAGAATCATAATGTCAGAGGAAATGATAGTTGTTATTACAGGTCAGTGTGTACATTAAAGCAGGTTGGTTGCTTGGGGCACAGACACACTTGAATGCAGTGTTTCTGAAAACTCAGTGTGTGGTTGGTGTCTGTCTTTTTAGCAAAGAGAAGAAATCTAACTCTGTCATTATGGATCTGTCTACCTAACAGGTTCTTTGGACCAGTGTTGCTGTCATGCTTTTTGAAGTAGTGATGATGTTGTGTTCTTTCCAGCTCTCAGGAATGACTGAGGCTGATTCAGCTGCTCAGCCGTATGCTTGTGCATCCCCAAACTGTTAAGTCACTGATTTTTTAAATGAAACATTCAGGTTTCCCATTGACTTACAAATACATGGATGAAATCATACCTTTTTTTCCCCCCCTTTTCTTGTTCATGAATTGAAGGTGCTACCACAACAACCTGGCTGAATTTCAGGTTTCTCATGTACAGACTAACTTCTATATAATCATGTCCTACCAGCAGCTGCAGGGAGTGGACATTAAAGCCTTTTAGGATCTCCCTTTTAATCTATATTAGTTACTCTGAGACGTTCTTGACAGAAAATCCCTCTAGGAGCTACTTGTCTAATTCTCCCAGGCCAAACCAAGTGGAGTACTTGCTTTCATACACACTTTCATGATTTCCCTGTAGCAGCTTTTGCAGCCATGTAGTTGAGATAAAATGTTTTCTTGAATTTGCCTAGGAAGACATAACCAGACATTGCTTATCTGCTGCTGCCCTTGGAGACACCTTGGTTCAAATGTTTAAACTCTTGGTTAAAGTCTTGAGCTCCTGTCTGCCACAAAAGGAATAAGAAATTAATTTGATATAATTTTGTATTTCATTTCAAGACCTTGACCTCAGCAGGACTGTCTTGTTCCATTTGCTGATTTGTTAAGCAGTGTATACTCAAGCCAGGGAGAAGAACTGGAAAACCTTGCTGATCGTGTTTAAAAGCAGATTAATTTTTCTCATCTCCTGTCTCTTGATGCTTTGCATTACAAGAAATGAAAAGTTGGGTAAACCATCAAAGACACTTGCTAAATACTAACATATTTGCAGTTCTAGTTCCTTTCTCATTTCAGTAATTGTATTCCTTGCCTTAAAATGTTATTTAATTTTCAAGAGCGTGGCGATTTTGGACAGCATCCTTCCTCTTCATCCAACCAATCTAATGGTGCCCAGTTGGATGAGGATTTCTTTTCATCTGTCGCTTAGGAATATTTACATTAGGATCCAAAGACAATGCCTTATATAGACAGTCAGTCATTTCAGTAGGCATAATGATACCAAGTTGTCGAAGTCCATGGTCTTTTTAGCTGTAAAACAACCTAAAATCCATTTTTACTCTTTCTAAGTATTACTTTAGGAACTGTGCTTGTTCATTTTATTTAAGAATATTATACTCGAAAACTCAGAAGGCTGCTCAGAAGACTTTTAAAATTTGCTTAGATTTTTTAGAACTTAATGAAAGTACTGGAAACAAAATTTTTACACATAGTTGCTTCTATTTGCAGAATATAACACAGAGAAGTAAGCATATCTAAAATTAATATATGTCTTGGGTGTTTTTGCAGTTACGTGCATGATGTGTCCTGTTACAACTCAAGTGTAGTGTAACAGGCTCATACGAGCACTCCCTGTAACTTTGATAGTCTGATTCTGGTTGATTGAGACACTTCAATTCAAAAATCCAGGATCCTTCCAGACACCAGTAAATGCCACTAACTTTCATTGTGCTCTTAATTTCTTTAAATTACCCCTTGTTTTCCTAGGAAAGGGCTTGTAGAGGGACCTATGATGATGGGAGTTTGGTTACCCACCCTAGTCTGCATTGGTACCTGGCTGTTCTTCCTCAGAGACTGCTTTTTTGAAAGCTCAGTTCAGCACCATGAAGATCACCATGTAGTGCTGTTTGTGAAGTGTTAGGAAATGAATCTCTAGTTGAGACTGACAGATACAACAGGGCTTAAAGAAGATTTATGTCCTTCAGGAGCCAGAGTTGTCCCCGAGGCAATTCATATGATGCAGAATGTCTGTGTTGAGGAAAGCTAAGTCTAAACTGAATTTTGCTTCTGTAGATTTAATCCTGTAACACACTGTGGACAAAGAGGACAGCCTGCTTCTCCTTACAAGAGTCTGTCCTGTATTTGAGTACTTCTCTCTCTCCCATCTTCGGTCAAGCATTCTCTACATTGATCCATTCTCTTTTTTCAGCCCTTCTCTACAGGGCATGTCTGCTGCCCTCCAGTAACTCCCACTGGCTAGCTCTGAACTCTTCAGCAGGATCACATGTTTCTTGGAGAATGTGTGGTGCCCAGATGGCTCTAAGTGCTCCAGCCAGGTGTGAACAGGACTGACTGCCATGGCAGGTGTCCTTCAGGTGTCCTGTTGGCTGTTGTCCTATTTGCACATCCATCTGTCATCATAGTTCTTTATGCAGCAGTTTTGACTCTGCTGATCTTTGCTCAGAGTGTTCTTCTCTAGCAAAGAATTGCTCTATAGGCAGTTATTTGTCCCCTGGTGTTTCTAGAGCTGGTTCTTCCTGCTTGGGCCTAATATCTGGAATTTATCCATTTCGGAATGCATCCTATCTTAACATATTTTTTCCAGTTCAGTGTGATTCTGAATTTTATCTTTCATCAGCTTCACGATTGGTGGTAGTTACAGATCTGGCAACGTAATCTTTGTCACAGCATTAATATTTATCAGTTGGTTTTTTACTTCCTTTTTATATCCCAAATTCAGTAATTTCTGTGGTGCCTGCCCACAGTCTTCAAGTACTGTTGATTGTCAGAAGTCTTTTGAAATCTCTTACATTATACATGCAGGAAAATGTAATCACATAAGAATTAGCACATAATCCCAATTTCAATGACTTTTCACATGGAACATCCTCTTGGAATGTTTCCGCCTAGTGATATAGTAAGAGTTTCAAATGGTGCTAATTACAGCACTATTTTAGATATCTGCAGACTTTCTGTAAGCTTATTTTCATTTTCTTTCTCTCCTCAAGAAAAGAGCGATTGGTGTACGTGGGTATCAGTATTGAGAACATCATTCCACCTCAGGTAAGCTAGTCTGTGTTGTATTATTGTTATATTTTCCAATCTTCTCAGCGAAGAAGTCTCTCAGTGCTGTGTCAGAGGTGCTAGTAGCATCTTGTGAAGAAAAGACAATCTATATGCAGATCAGAAATGATTCTGGACCCTTCATTTTAGACTGAATATAGTAGAGAAACCAAGGGAGCTTTGTGGTGCTTATTAGAGCCACGTGATGCCACACAGTGTCCTATCCCAGTGAGGGATTGCAAGACTACCTCCCTGCCCATTACAGTTGGATTTTGAGTTAAGTGCTCTATATCCAGAAGTTTATAAAGGTGGAAATCAGTTATTTAACTCTGGTGTTTGCTATGCAGTTACCTAGGTTTGTGCTAATTGTCATGGCTTTCCTTTGGAACTGATGGGAAACAAGTGTTTCTGGCTTATGATTCAGAGGGAATATGTAGTATCTCTAGGCAGCATAGCATTTGCCTTCAGCTTCAGGATGTTAAGGTCATGTGATTAAAAACTGTAAACATTTAGCGTTTCATTAACATATGGTTTTATTTGGTTTCTCTTGAGAAAAGAGGAAAAATGCTTTGATTCACATGAAGAACAGCCTCTTCTCACTTAAATTCACTTTAAAACAAGTCTCTTGAAGTCTTAGCCAAATGCTTTCACCTGGAATTATATAATCTGTTATTTGCAATTTGAAATGAAACTTTTGTTCATTTTAAACATAGATTTTCCACTCTGCCTGGCTGTAGCAAGGCCAACTTTTTCTCCCTGTCTCTGAATGCCAGAAAATAATAACAGATTTTACAAACTTGGAAAAGAATCTATGGCTGAGACCAAATATTTGTAAAATGCAGCCTGAGGGCAGATTATTTTGCTTTTAAATTAATAACTTGCAAACAATATAATAAAACTAACCTGCATGAAACTTCATTGAAACTACACGGTGTAAAGGTATCCCTGTGCTTGGTATGTAGAGGTGGTGGCCACAGTTTGTTCAGCTGACACATTTACTAGTCCTGGGTGTATCACCTGGGGCATGATATTAGCATTGCAGCATAAGCACAAGGATCCAATAGCCTGAACCCTTTAAACTCTTGTGTTTGGAAAGTTATGTAGCCTGTAAGGGCAAAATGTGCAAATTCACCTGAACTGCCGTAATAGGTCACTACATTACAAGTTATACTATACTATATGTATTATATTACAATGTGCTGTGTTGAGCATATGAGCTTTCTAGACAGAATGAATAATCTATATTACGAATTCAGTCATAATGAGTGTGGAGGGAGGGAGGAGATAAAGCGTTTTTACACTTCTGTCTTATCTGAACAGGAGCCAGAAATACCTGAAGGTCAGGAAGAAAAGAAGAAAGATTCCAAAAAGCCCAAATCAAAACTTGAAAGGAGATCTACCAGAACCCGAAAGTGCATAAGCTACAGGTCAGCAACTTGTTAAAATAGCTTGTACAGCAAAAGTCATACTGTTGTTTCCTTTCTGAATCATCACACCACATGTCATCTAAACTTTTACATTTAACAGAGAAGCCCAACTAAAGTGTCTTTGTTCTTTCCTCTGAATACTGGTTATGCTGGGTGGTTGTGAGAGCATGAGGTGGTATAGTGAAAGGGTGATGCATTAAAAAAATGGAAATGTATATGGTGTTATGTTCAGGAATACTGGAGAAGGTTTTGGTACTACTGCAGTTTCTGGAATGAGTTAAAGCAGGAGAATTAAACCTCTCCTTTCTCTTGCAAGAGAGACTTCTGCTTGTGTCTAAAGGCCTTAGATTCCTTGCTCTCTTCCCCCACCCCACCTTAGACCTTCCTTACATGAAAGGGGAATGAAACTTACAATGTAATTATCACATGGTGCATCTAAAAATGCAGCTCTTTAGAAAAATCTGTAACTCTTTAGAGAAATTTTGACAAAAATGCAATTAGTAAATAAAAGTGCCAAGGTATTTAGACTCTGCATTCTGAAAGTAGAATGAGTCACTAAGATTTTAAAAATTCACCATGATCTTAATAATCACTTTTGTTCTGAGTGTATTACCAAGTTGTTTTCATAGACTGCTTTCTAAATAATACCTTGTGACACTCTGTAACATCTTCAATCCACCAGGCAAGTAGAATGCCCTTGGGATTAGAAAAGAATGTGGTTACCTGAGAGATTGTGGGGGTTTATCCCAAATGCATTAGGAATGTTAAAAAAAAAAAATCTATCTTTCCAGTAGTTGCTCTATGTTGACGTTTATCATCAGAAATTATAATATTCCAATATTAGAATAACAAATTTTCCAACAGTAACCATCATTGAATGTATAGTCAGCCTGGTTTTGCTGCTGAGGAGGGGCATAGTATTTGTATAGTCTGGGTTTTCCAGCCTGGTCAGAATACTCAGTCTGACTTTGCTTAGCTGTTGGATTTTGGTAACTTTTGAATGAACAGCAGAAGTCACACTAATGAAAATGCTATTGCTAGTTCAGGAAATTAAGCATTCCTGTAAGGAATGTTAGACTATGGGCAAGACTACATAGATCTGCTGTTATGTTAATGACAGGTCAGGCAGCATCTGACTGGGAGAAAAAAAACCCTTGCCTGTAGGGTGTGTGGCACGACTCCAGCAGGACTCATGTTGTGCAATGAGAGTAAATTTTTATTGAATGTAATGTTTCAGAAAAATCAGTCTTCTGGTAAAAAGTGATAATCTTCCTTACAGACTACATCATCCACATAAGTTTGAGCTGGTGAAAATATTGTATGTATCAGTGTGTCAGATTTTTATGTCTGCAGTGAAGTTCCACTGATGTCACTGAGAGTTGTGACAGCAGGGGAAGATAAATGCTAAAAGTCTTTTTCCACCAGGAAACAGATCTGTATTGTGGAGCATTCTGGTTCTCTAAAGGATCTATAATCCCTTTGTATCACCCATCTGTTGAGTCATCTTGTGAGCAAGTTAGCAAAAACCTGCATCATGAATAAAGCAGCTGCAGAAGAAATTATGTTCCATTACACCTAATGGACAAGCAGCTGTCAGCTTGTGTCTGAGCTCAGGTTATTTATTAGCAGTGGTTTGAAAGCATTAAGTGATTTCTCACATTTTAAAGAGAGGTTTTTTTGTGTGGAGGGAAAGCAGTATTTGAGTAATGTGGAACTAATCTTACTGATGGTATAATTTCAGAGTTATTTCTTTGCTGGATATGTTGCCTGGAAAGGCTGACCTGGAACAGAGACTAGACAGAGTAAAAGGAATAAAATAGGTGTTTATTGAAAGGATACACTTTGGGCAGTCAAGAGTCTGGCCGGGGCCACACCCAAATCAGATACAAGATGGATTCTGGTCACGATTTTTACACTTTTATAAGTTTTGATTCATTTCTATATTGGGGTCAATTATTCAACCACAGCTCCAGGCTATGAAGTCTTAGTCCCCTGGCTTGCCCTCTTTCCCTCGCTGTTGTTTATGCTTTTTGTCCTTGTTGTCCAGTTGTCCTCGATTTTCTAGCTAGGAGGGGATTGTTTTGTCTAACTACCCTGTGAAGAGAACTCACACCTAATATGAAGTTTCAGAGTTAAACACTAAGCAGCAGAGATTCTGAAAAATATAAAAGCTAAAACTGAAGGCATCAGGTAAAGCTGCCTTAAGAGTGGCGTGCAGTTGTTCCTAAGGAATATAAAGGTATTAGAAGTCCATCATCTGATTTTTAAAGTGAGAGAAAGTGTTTTATGTTCATTACTGGAAAACAGAGTAAAGTATTAGATTTATGTTTCTCTTGTACTGCTGGTGGTTCCTATGGAGGCAAATATAACTGGAATCTCTTTCATGACTGAGAAGTGGAATTTTTAATAAATGTATTGTCCAGTTAGTTGTCTGTATCTGAAAAAATTAAAAAAAACCCTTTTTAAAAAACTAGAGGAAAAATTTGCATCTAAAGAAAAAGTCTTTTCTATATAGTTAATAAAATTAATACTTTTGCATGTTGAAGCTCAGGGCATCTATTTTTTGAACAGGTAACAATCCTTTTTTATGGAATTTGAATTCGTAACTGAAGAAACAAACTGAGGTCACCTGTGTTGAAAGGATTGTACATTTTTTCTTCAGTTTGCTGTTCTCGTTCAACGAGTTACTCAGGGTGCAGAAATTTATGCAGTTTTGTAAAAGCTGTTGCAGGACAAGCACACTCAAAGACTTTGCTTTTGTTTGTCCTATTCAGTTATGTAACATTGCATTACAACTTACGTATGTAGATTTATGAGGAACTTTGTACACTGTGTTTTATTTTATCTGTTCAGTTTAGAATGTTGCAGATCCGTAGAGTATCATGAGCTTTAAGAGTAATAAGCAGCTATGTGAAATCAGTTCTGAAGGAAAATGGGGACAGAATAAAGAATTTTACGTTGAGTTTAATAGATGATTCTCAGGCTGTTTTGAAGGTTGGTAGAGCTAATGTCATCTAATAAAAGTTGTAGAAAAAATGATGAATACTTTGTGAGAAAATACTATTGAAAGCATTTTAAAGAACTTTCAGATTATATATTGTTAAACTCAGAGGCCTGCTGTGTAAAATTGAAGGGGATTTCTGTTCATGTAACTCAATAGTAAGACAGGCAATGGTAAATAATCTGTAAGCAAAGAGATGTAAGGAACACAACTTTGATAATAAAATAACAATTTTTTTAAATTCTGGCCCATTATTTTAGTTAATTATGTATCCAGCCCACTGTCTGTGCAGTGTAATTTCTTCAGATTTTGAAGTATGTTTTTGTAACGATTTAATTAAGGTTCACTTCAAAGTGGTAAATGGAAGCTGTTATTTTTAGGTTTGATGAATTTGATGAGGCAATTGATGAGGCAATTGAAGATGATATCAAGGAGGCTGATGGAGGAGGTATGTTTCTGATGTTATTTGTTTTGTGTTGGAATGGTGATAAGAAGATGGAGAGCAAGTTTATTTTAATATGAGAAGCAACAAATATAATTCTCTCCCTTCAAACTCTGAAGTTTGCCTGGGATTTTTTTACTGCTGGATTTTTCAATGTGAACTAAATAATTTCCCTTAGGAATGGCCATCCCATGCTGCCAGAAGATGCCAGAAAATTAGTAAAAGTTGATAGTTAAATCCACCTTGTACAGGTTTTTATATATGTAATGAGTAAGTTTTGGATTTGAGATTGGAAATTGACAGCAGTGACAAATTTGACATTTGTCCCCTGTAAAAAGAGGGCTCACAAATTGGTCTGCAGTTGGACCCTCTAAAGACTGAGTGTACCAAATTGTCTAAATATTCATCCAGCTCTACTAGCACTTCTCAGTTGAACATGAATAAAGTAAAATTCTGTTCTTTGTTGCCTGTTAAGGCAACATGGGACCAAAACGGAGATCTTCAACACTGTCTGAGGGATGGAGGTGGATTTGTGCTTCTGCATCACCTTAACTTGCCTGAAGAAAACAGCCATGAAACATTGTCCTTCAGTTGTTTGGCCTGTGGCATCTCCAGGCACTCACCAGTTTCAGAAGCTCATGATGTATGCAGACCATCTGAAAATAGTGTGTCTGTGGGTGTGTAACACAAGGTCCATTATAGTAAACATAACCAAGTCTCAACACTAAAGCACCTTTTCAAAAACTCCAGTTCTTGGCTGAACCACAACTCAAACCCTTCATCTCCCAAGAAGCATATTCAGCATTACAAAAGTGTATTTTCTGGTAACTGCCCTCTCAAAAGGCACTGGTGTGGTAATAATGTGGGTTGGAGTTGAGCATCAGAATGCAGACACTTAACCATGGCCTTCTGCATGGACCTCAATATTTCCAAGTGACCACAGCTGGGCTGTGTGTGTCAGGAGCAAGACTCTGGACAGAGTCTTGCTTGACAAGAAAATATTCTGCTTGACAGAAAATAAACTGAAGTTAGGCACATGCAAGAAAGATCTGTAGAAAGTTAAACAAGAAAATAAACTTGATATTGTTTCCTCTTTCTGTCACTGAATTCAGGCATTGGCAGAGGCAAAGACATGTCAAATATCACAGGTCACCGTGGAAAAGACATTTCCACAATCCTAGAGGAAGAAAGGAAGGAAAACAAGCGACCACAAAGGGCTGCTGCAGCACGACGCAAGAAACGACGGCGACTAAATGACTTGGATAGTGATAGTAACATGGATGAAGAAGAGAGTGAGGATGAATTCAAGATCAGCGATGGGTAGGTTAGCTATTTAACTTCCCCACAAGTCACTGACCTCTACAGGCTTCTGTAACTCTGCAGTGCCCCTGAAATGCTCAGCAGGAGCACGTTCCCAGTGCTGGAATGGCGCTGCACAGTGCTAGTAAGAGTCAGAGAATGATAGAATGGTTTGGGTTGAAAGGGACCTTAAAGATCACCCAGTTCCAAACCCCCTACCATGGAGTCCTTCTGGCCTAGGGGAACGTCATTGTACCGGAAAAACTGTTCTCTGGATCCATGTGTTGACATCATCCAATCTGTATTTGAAGCCTAATACATTCTGGGAATGTACTGTGATGTTTGAAGCCTCACTACAGGCTTCTGTTAGTGAAGGAGCCAGGTGGGCTCAGTTCTCTGGCTTATGTGACTGTCGAGCAGAAATCTGTAACAAAAATGTAGCTAAAATGAGACTGGTTGTTCCCTATTAAAAATAAGAGTTAAAATTTCCTATTTTGTGGGATTTTTTTTGCCTAATTGTCATTTAGAAATGGGAAGAGGAAAATTTTCATTATTTAGAGCACACAAAACCTGACAGGCAGATTCTGAAATTAGTTTTTGATTGCTGCTCTGTAGGCAGTAGAGTTTGAATACATTCAAAGAAGTGGCTTATACTGCAGAAAACAAATACATGTCATTGCTCTGGCTGACTGAAACTCACTTTCCACAGAATTTCTCATCATTCAGTCTGGGCAATTACTGATGTTAAAAAAATTGATAATTTTAGATTAACTTTATGCCTCAATGAAGCAACATAATAAAGCAAGCATGAGGCTGTAGGCTCTTTACCAGCAGCATTTAAAGCTTTACACCAATCATTGAGTCAATTTACTAAGTGTATGGAAAATCTATACAAGATAAATGCAAATTTTGAGCTTTGTTTTCCAACTTTGTGACCATATTGAGGACATTTCAGTGGCACCCTGAATAATTGAGCTACATATACTGGACATTTCCAGTCAATGAGTGTAGCTTGTGGAAATGTCACAGAATTAATAGTGCATTGATCTGTTAAAGTGTGCTCATGCATTTTCAACTCCATCCTCTGCTTTGGGCCTTCTGCATCTTACACTGGAATTTAAATTCAGCTGGCAACCAAATTCAAGTGACTGTGTACCTTCAGTGCTCAATGGTTTTTAAAAAAGCCTCGGCTCACTTGAAGTTACGGGAATGTTACAAGTTTATTAGATTGTGGGGTGCATGTTTTACATTAGAGCCATTGTTTTGTGTTAAGACACGATATTCTAATTATCAGAAATTGTGTGGGACAGTGCTGAATTTGTGAAGAACAGGTCACCTTGGCTAGAACGTGGTTGGTGTTTCTTTTCCCTCCACAGTTACTGCTATGCAGACATTACATTGCAATGAACCATATGAACACTCTAGAATCTGTCCTGTGTTAATGCCATCTGCAGTGTTGGTTTGACAGAGTGTTTATATTCACCTGCTGCTCTAGTCTGCTGTGCAATGTCATTCACTGTAGAGCCAAATACACAGCTGAAACCTCATGTCAGTGATGGCAGCTTGCTCTCTCTGGGTCTTTGCTCCTCATTACAAGATTAGTGCTTTTATTTTGTGTAAAATTATACCACTTGCTTGTAAAATACAAGTACTAGTTTAATCCTTTGGTTGTGATACCAATCTCTGTTGTCTGGGGTTTTCCTTTGAGTAGATCTCAGGATGAGTTTGTTGTATCAGAGGAAAATCTGGATGAAAGTGAAGATGACCCACCATCAAACGAGGACAGTGACTCCGAGTTCTGTGCCCGCATATCCAGGCGACACCTCTCCAGGCCCATGAGGCAAAGCAGGCGGTTACGAAGGAAAACAGTCAAGAAAAAATACTCTGAAGATGATGAAGATGAAGAGTCTGAGGACAATTCAAGCAGAGAGTCTGGTGAGTATAAGCAATCTTTGATATTTTAAATGATCTGCTCTGGGGAGAAGGAGAATGGCAGTCTGAGTTTCTGTCGTTACTGACACTTACTTGTTTGCTTGCTTTGTTCAAGTCAGATGTCATCTTTGTTGTAAAGCAGTTTGCTACTTGTTCTGTCAATATTTTTCAGGAAACTGATACTGAGTACTAGGTTCTTGCCATTTCTAGGTAATTATGTATTTAAATAAATGGTTGTGCTTTGATTCTAGAGGCCAGCACCGTGGATAGTTGCAGCTACCTCTATACTTCTTCTGTTTGGCACATAATCATAGGAAAGAGGATGGAGACAAAAGTGTGCTTCTTTATACCTAGTAGAAGACCTTCTGAGCACACCTATGAAAAAGATTCTGAAAGAAACACTTTCCATCACTTTATGGAAGAAAACTTCAGTTGTGTGGCATTCTGTGTTTTCTGAGAGGCTTGAAAGTAAAGAATTAACACCGTGAATCTCTCTCTCATAGAATTATCCTTAAAATCTTTAGTAACTGAAGACTCTTGCATCACAGGAGAACCTAATATTTCACTTTATTCTACTTGTTCAACTGCCTCATTTTCTGTTGGCATGATTTGAAATGTGAGAATAGTACCTGTGCACTTCATAAACCTTTTCATGATCAGCATCTTTCTCTGAAGACTGTCCTCCTTGTTTCTGCTTCATTTGAGACACAGACTAGAAAGTGCCATATACATGAGCACTCGTTTTTTCCTCACTCTTAATGTGAATTTAAGGTTCTAACTATACTGGAGTGTTAACTTACTGCAGTGTGTGTTATCTTTCCAGTGTTTCATCTGTCTGTCTAGAATATAGATGATGAACGTGTTGGAGTAAGTTGCTTTGGAGTACTGATTTCCCAAAGGAAGGTTCATGCATGGACAGCTGAAGACAACGATATGAGTGATTAGAGTGATTGTTGTCTCCCTGTCCTCAATGCATCTTTGCACTGATCATAAGCTCTTATCAATGAAGATACTTGCAGAAGTCTAAAGAGATTGCTTATCTGTTCTGTAATGCACAAGAGCAACTGTTTGTTCCCTGGTGGACACACATCTCTGACAAAATCAACTGATTCCAGTATCATTCCATATATATCTAAAAGTATAATCTTAACTGTGTCTCTATTTCTCCCTTACCCTCATTATTGTCCATCAGGATCCTGCTTTAAAGCCTATTTTGAGCTAAGGAAATCAGGTGACCTGCAAGAGGCTTTATTTTCAGTCTCCAGAGACAGAATTTCTTCCTGAAGCTGGTTGTTTTTGCAGACTTGCTGTGTTTCTTTGTCTAATATTTTAGGAAGTAAAGAGGATGCCAATTTGATCTATGACTCATGTCAATCACTAACTTAGGAACAGTGTGTGACTTTTATAGAAATGTCTCTTGGCATAATTGTTCTGGCATAACTCAGTGAAAAGAGGCTGAAGTTGATTTGAGGCTATTTTCAACTGATGTAAATAAATTTAATTTTTGAAGATACTAGCTGCAGTAGACTGGTGCAGGAAGAACTGTGATTGATGGTAAGTTTCTTCTGTATGGTTTCTGTTTTAAGCAAACCCATGATTGAGTGAAACTGATTTTTGTTGTTAACTTAATATAACTCAGGTCTTCAAGTTTCCTCTTGTCAGTCATTTTGTATCTACCTGTCCTTGAAAACCTTCCGGTAAAGTACAATTTATTTAAATTTTAGAAGCAGAACAGACTCTCCTGAGGCACTGCTAACGTTGCACCATCAACTCTAGTTCAGTAAAGTTGTTTCCACTTTCAGGAATCAGAGAGATGTCTCTGACACCAGTAGAGATGAGGAACAAAAACACCATAAGGAAAATATGTGAATTAGGAAAATTACCTGAATTTTTTATGTGAGGCAGTTTTGCTTTGATGGAATAATACACAGCACTGTTTTGTTTCATACAGAGAGCGGTGATTACACAGATTACAGTGATGATGATTACCTGGAAACTAGGAGGAGAAGATCAAGACGGAATCAGAAGAGACAAGTTAATTATAAGGAAGATTCAGAAAGTGATGGCTCACAGAAAAGTGTCCGATATGGGAAGGAGTTGAGAAGAGTTCATAAACGCAGGCTCTCCACTTCAGATAGTGAAGGTAAAATAGACTGTCCAGCATTTCCAGGAGCAGGTGTGTGTCAGCATCATCATGAAGGGAAAGTTATATAATTTCAAGATTTCAGAGAATTGTCTTTCTAGAGATCCTTGATGTTTCTCAGAAACTCTTTCCTTCTGAAACAGCCCACTGGTACTTTATGATGCACTGAGTCACTTCTCAAATTTATCATTGCCCCTTATCCTGACATCCATGTCTGAATTTATTACACAGAGTGTTTTGATTCCAAAATTGGCACTAATGCAACTGTTTCACCACTTTTTGTTAAGAGGTCAAAAAGCTGCATCTCACGAGCATCTGAAGATTCTCTTATGTAAGAGGAAGGGCATTGTCTCTGGTGCCCTGACAGTGTGCTGGTGGCTCAGAATCATTTCATCTCTTGTTTAAGGAGCTGTGCCAAGTGCAGAGGAAGCCTCTCTCAGTAATGTTAGGCACACAATGAGTGATTGGTGTGCTTCATGATTTATAATTAATTAGCTTTTACAAAGCCAGCCACTGACTTTGGCTTTTGGATTATGGGTGCCTGCTTATCAGACCTTAGGTCTTGCTTTCCAAATGCTGAGTGGTGCAGGTTGCAATGGATATGAGGCTTCCTCAGAAAATGAGCCGTCCTTGACGGCCTGAGTGCCTCAGTAAGAAGTTGTATATAATTTGAGGGTGGCAGGGGTATAGTACAGCTTTGTGTGTGTGTGTGTAGATGCATGAATTTTATGATAAAGCAGCCATTATTTGGGTTCTGAGTTTCTGTCAAGGTGCAAGTAAAGCACATACTGTGAGATGAGAAATACAGTTCTGTGTTATTCCCAGCATAGAGTTACCAGTTTTAGGGGAGAACACACTCACTTTCAAAGCCTCTGGTGCTCCTCAGCTTGGAAACAGAATATCTGTGAATTGTTGATACTTGCTACATTAGAAGTTGACATAAAAAGTAAAAAGAATGCAAGCCTTTTGGCTTGGTTGGGGAGCCTGGGGAAGGATACACAAATGTCTGTGCTCAGAGAGCTGTCTTGTCAATGAATGAGAAAGATGAAAAATAAATGTTGCACTGAGATTTGCTAATGACTCTAAGTCTGCTGCTTCTTCCAGAGAGCTACACATCTAAGAACTCTGAAGATGATGAATCCACAAAAGAGTCAAAGCAATTGATTCGAAAACGTCGGCGAAGTACAGATGGCTATTCCGAGGAAGAAGGAGAGGATGAGGAGGAAGAAGGAAAGCCTGTCCGCAAACGCCTGAATCGAATCGAGACCGACGAGGAAGACACCGGCGAAAACGTGAACGACGACGCAGAAACCCCCACTCCTGCAGTTAAGCTGCCAGCAGCACAAGCCCCCCAAGACAACCCCAAGAAGCACTGCTACCGGATAGAGAGCGATGATGAAGATGACTTTGATAATGTAGGGAAAGTAGAGAGCCCTTTGGACTACAGCCTGGTGGACTTGCCTTCCACCAACGGACAGAGCCCAGGGAAAACCATTGAGAACTTGATTGGCAAGCCAAGCGAGAAGACCCAGGCCCCTAAGGACAGCACAGCCAGCCCCAGCCTGGCGCCCAATGGGACAGGGAGCGGGCAGGAAGCGGTAGGGCCAGAGGAAGATGAAGATGAACTTTTGAGAGTGACTGACCTTGTTGATTACGTCTGTAACAGTGAACAGTTATAAGACTTCCATTTTTTGTGCTAATTTATTCCACGGTAGCTCATACCAGCGGGCCAGTTATTAAAAGCTGTTTTATTTTTCCTAGAAAATTCTCCACTACAGTATCACTTTCTAGAAGCAAGAATTTCACCAGTCCTGCAGTCTTTCTGTGAAGTGACCAGTTTTGAACTTTGAAGATTTGCTGTAAATTCCCTCTCTTACCCCTCCTTCTCCTTCCAAGTCCATGGTCCTGGGTAATTTCACTCGCAAAAACCTTATAACAACAAGAGATTTGTATATTTTTGACTTTATATTTCCTGAGTGCATACAAATTTGTGGAAATGGGTGGCCTAAGAAAGCATTCCAAATCAGTCAGGGCCCAAACCGGAACTGGGGTGGGTTTGGCTCAAGGGGTGGGGGGACGGGAGGGGGGTGGTGCAGAAGCACTTGTGCTTTAGCTTTTTCATATGAGATATATATTATATTTAAATGTTCACAACTTAGATTACAACTTAACAGACAGTTAAAAGCAAAATTAATGTCTGTACTGTCGCATTTTGTGAGTTGTAGGTTAACATACCATAGCTCATTTTAGTAATCAACTTCATGAAAGCAGTTTGATTTTAATACTGGAGGCAAACAGAGTTATTAGAGGCCAAGAAGGTACCATAAACAAGAACTCTGCTATTCATTATGACTTGCAGACTTTCCTAATAAACGTTCTTTAAAGTGTTTGTACAGTGAAGTGTACTGTAATGAAGTTTTTGACAGCTGAAACACTCTAGCCATGAATTTCTAAAGTGATCTCATGCACAGTTCATCAGATGGCCTTCAATGCACAGTGTCTAGTGGGAGGACGTATTGATGTCAAGTTAGTCTGTAGGCACTGCAAACTTTTACAGACAAAAGAGCCCTGCAGTCGCTGCCTGACCATGTGAGCTTCATCACCAGTTGGAGTATCGTGAACAAAATGTGTTTGTACAAATGGCATTGACCATAGAATGACAGTGCATAAGAGGATGGAGGGATTTTCAAATAAACCATGACTGGTCCATTCATGCCCTTAATATCTACTTCAAATTGAAGTAAACAAATGGAACAGTTTTCCTTTTGGAGTTTTTCTGTTTGGGGTTTGTGTGTGTTTTGGTTTGGTTTTACTTATCTGCCTGGATGTATTAGCAGGTTTTGAATGTAGTTGTTGGCCTTTGGCCATTAGAATTTTCTTAAAATACATTTTAATAACTGTCATGTGACCAACTGATTTCAAGAAGGCAGAGTTACTGAGAGAAAACGCTTGACTCCAAGATATCATCAACTTTTGAGCAGACATGAAGTGGCATGTGCTTTTATTCAAGGGGGAAAAAAGACAATGGAAGAATAAAAACCCCACCCAATCAACATGGGGCACATCAAAAGCATTCCGTTTTCTCTTTACTCTGGTTAAGATGTAGGCTGTAGCATTTTTACATGTTATAGGACACAGATAGCTCAAATAGATCTGCCAAGCATTGAAATCAAACAAGGTCACATCTATTAATCCTTTTGCTCTGAGATTTGGATTTTTGACTGGTGTTCATGTCCATTGCCGGCAATGGATGCACCAAAGCTGCTGCTGCCACTGAGGAGTGAGTTCTCCTTTTCCTGCCCCACCTGATTCCCTTCCATTATATTGTATTTACTAATCAGTCATAAAGCACTTCTGTTTTCTTGTAATAAAACCAGCATTAGGCCTTTACTAAATACCTCTCTAGAAAACCTAGATCCAAAATTTACCTACCTTCTGGCCTTTAAAGTCTTGGTTTTGTTTCCCCACCTCTGTTTTCCACAAGGTCTGTCAGAACCACTCCGTGACTCTTACTCATTTGGGTTTTAGCAGTACACATATCATGCTATAAAACTAGGATTAGAAAGATGCAAAAAGGTGGAACTTGCTCATTATCTGCTGTGCTAAGCAGGCTCGTGATTAAAACACAAGAGAAATCACTCTCTACATGACAATTTAATTTCATCAAAGATTAAATGTTTTCCTACTTTACTGATGTTAACAGCTAACAGTTAAGTGATTAAAATGGGGTAGTGAAGAGCCATAGAAGATTAGAATGAGTTCTTAAAAGCCTATGTAGCGTTCTAAGCTACTCTAGTGCTTGTCTTTGCTTAGCTGATGCATAAATGTAGTGCTTCTAAATTCTAATATATTTGTGTGTTAGAACAAGTAAGATCATAAGGCTTCCACTTGTCCATGATAGTAGCTGCTGAGCATTTTTAATACTTGCAGTGCAAACTGATTCACATCCATCAGCTCTGTGGAATTGATGGTTCCTCATTTGTTTTGGCAGTGCCATATTTTCCTTTGCTGCCTGATGAAGCCTTCTGGTATCTGATCAAACATTCTCGCTTGTAGAGTCAACTCTAAATGCTAAATACTTAGTGGGAAGGTACTTATGTATGTAAGAAAATACAAAAGAGTTACAATTCTAGATATACCAATCATGAAAAAATTTGAGTACTGAGTTAGAGCGATGTAAAAGCAGGAAAGACCAGGAAGCAAAATAGGAACTTTGAAGCTTTTATCAGAAGTGTCATGTTTTAAAAATGGCCAGTTACCAAATTGTACTTTTTATAGGTCTCTTCTCAAAAGCAACTTTTCTGTCTTCTAAGAAGTCATCCTTGGTACCTAAGATGGCTTAGGCCACAGGATATAGAGTTCCTCCTTAGATCACTGGAAATAGCATGCAAGGAAAAACTGCAAGAAATGCTCTGGGAAGTATTGCCACTTTAAAACTTGGTATTTTTATCATTTTTAAGGCTTCCTGCTTGGTGGAAAATGTATCATCTCCTATTTGGGAAGATGACATTTTCTGTCAAGAGGCCAGCTATCTCACACGGTTCATGCTGTTACAGTATGTCTATATGATTCCAGAGTGAAAATGTCTTCCTGGTGTCCTTACAGTCTTGTGCCCTTCTGTGCTCAGCGTGAGATCAGAAGTTAGTTGTCTGAATAGTGATCTTCAGGTGTAGCTTTGGGCTTAAAGCTCAAACCATATGGGAAACAGGAAACAGGCCAGGGATTCTTTCTAATGAAAACAAGCAGCTACTGGCTGAACATGCAAAGCATTTATTCAGCAAACTCTTGTTTATTCCACACAGATTGTCACTAAAAGCTTTGTCTTTTTTTTTACCTGCAAGCTCTTCTGTATATAACTGATTGGGAACAAAGCTGATTTCTATGTGTAGTCTAAGTAGCACTGCTGGGAAGAACATATAAATCAAGTAGAGGAGTGGATTTTTTGTGCCACCAAGATAAATGCTGGCTGTTTGCTTCCCTGTGTGGGGCTTCTGTGACTCAGCGACAAAAAGCACACAATTGGGACCTCTCTGCTGTAATGAATGGGGTGTGTTAATCTAAGCAGAAGGGGGATAGAATTAACTGGGTTGGTTTCACCACAGTTGCTGTCTTCTGGTTGTTGAGTCTGATAAACCTGAGCATATTCTTGATATAAGATGGAAAATGACATCACATTTAACAACCCCTAGTTAGCAAGGTCAGTACTGAACAATCAACTCTTTGATGCTTTCATTTTGTACATGCTGAATTACATTATAAAACCACTGCATCTTCCTGATTTTTTTTTTAATGAAAAGATTGTTCTGGTCTAGCCGCACTTAGGAGAAACAAGAGATGCTTTTTTCTAAAAAACTCATTTTTGAAGTGTCACTTTCAAGATGTTGTATTAAGTGTCTCGGTTACTCTTCATACTATGGGAGCTAATGACTTAGTTGGACTTGTTTTCTGTTCACTTCTGTTTTCTAATTGCTGTGTCTGAACTCTTGGTAAGAGACCTTACATTGGGAAACTCAAGGGGCAGAAGACGTATGTTCACAAAAGAAAAATTGCATGGTAGTGGTACACTTGTTCTGATTTCACATCTATTATTTGAACTACACTGGTATCCAGATGCTGCGACTGTTTAATAATTTTAGTCCTTCATTTTCAAGGGGTCCATTTTATACCTCTGTTTTCAGGTGCTTATAACATGGTTTTCAGTTTTCTTCAGTAGAAAGCTCTAGTCTAAACCTTCAAATAATGATTTAATATCACATATTTTTACGAACTTCTTTTATGAAAAGTAAACAAGGAATTTTTACAGCACCTGCTTTTTAAAGTTCACTTTGTACATGGTGATTTAAATAAATCTTGGCAATAATGCTTGCCCCCAGAACTGGTCTGACAAAGAGATTTGTATCACCTAATTCAAAACCGCTTTATATAGGCCTTGAAAATTGGGTTTGATACATGTGCAGTGACTACTATTCACAGACTTGTAATGTGGTTCTGATGTGCAGTGTGTACCCTGGGGATGTATTTGCATTTGATGTATGCTTCAGATTTGGTGGGTGTATAAAATCCTTAAATATATATAAATATATGTAGAAGATCAAGTATCTTCAAACAAAACAGTAACTTTGGGGAAAAAAAATGTATTGAATATGGTGTGGGAATCTCTAGAAATAAGGCAGCAGAATTTTGCAAGTCCTTAAGTGTTTAAAACTTCCATAGAAGCATTTAGGGTATTGTCTGAAGTAAGGATTTACAGGATCAAGATCACATTTGCTGGTTGGTAGTCTCTTCTGCCTCCCCTTCCCTAACAGTTAGCATAGGGACTGTATCTCATTTAAAATGTTGGAAGGCAGGAAGTAAAAAAAAATCCAGCAGATGTTATCTATTTGGAGTTCTTTAAATTCTTACTGTTTTGGTTTGTTTTTTTTTTTAATGGTATATCCTGATACAAGAAAAATTCTATGATTTAAGTTTTGATGCTTTACCCAGTCTGAGATGTAACAGAGCTTCAGAAATATTTATCAGTTGGAAATTATTTCTGGAGACCAGCAGTTGGGGTATTGAGGATTACTAGTCACTTTGGAAAGTCACATCACATACCAAGCCCTTCTTCTAGATTAGGTGTAACTAACTGAGGTAGCTCCAAACAACAAAAACATGGGAATGATTGTCCCAACACTTTGGAGTAATTTAACTTACTTATTTAACTTACTTATACAAAATATGTATATTGCTTAGTATAAAACGTAAATAAAAGATTGAGTAGAGCTTCTGAGGGAAAGAATAAAACACTCTAAAGTAGGTAAGATTTTATAGTTGAATCTGTGGTGTAAAGCGTTTCAATTCAACTGCAATTGAAAGCAAGTCTTACAACTTGGGTTTTTTACTACCATCTTGTAAGTGCTGGGCCCCTACAGCTGAGCTGAGGAGCAGGAGAGGGGACAGCATTGCAGTCAGAGGGGCACACGTGCCTGCCAGTAGATCTGCTGTTGCTCCATACAACCCCAAAGGTTGCTGAGGAGAGCCGAGCGACGGCGTGGCTCCGTTGGTTCGGCTGGTTTACTTCGTGCACTTTGCAGCACTTTGTGTATAGTCAGTCTCACTGGTTCCCCAGGTGCAGACAGAGTCACTCACTCCTGCTGTTTGGAGGCTTGTTCCAATAACAAGGGGACATGGGGAATGGATGGAGGGAAGTGGAATGGAATACTGTGTATGCAAACTAATGCCATTTGCAAGGCAGGTCTTGGACAGGCCTAGAAACTACTTGTGACTTGCTCTTTTAAAGGCTGGATTTCCAAAGGAAGGTCTCCATTTAGGAGAATTATCCCAATACCCTTTCTTTTCTCCTCCTGATTTTCAAAGTAACTGGAAAATGTGCTTGATTGTACTCCTTCCTTGAGGGAATAAATAATGTTCCTCCATCAGTGCAATGTGGATGTAGAAAAACTTAGGATCAGTCTGTAGAATATTATGGCTATGTTTGTCTCCAGGGATGACAGTCAGTCCACACAGTTTGCTTTCTTGTTTGTTCCTCTTACTGTGTCCCACACAACTGAACTTGGATCAGTCTGTCAGAACTTAAGTGGTTCTACAGGGATAAAGTCCCTCTGCAAAGACATGATAGACCTAGTAACCAGTGCACTGTTTGTTAGTTAGAACAGATAAAAGCCCTTACTAGATACTAATGTGACACTCAAGGTAGTGGCAGAAAACGAAGTCAAATCATAAAGCTGTAAGCCTTGTTTAGTTTTTCATTTTGTACTCATTATATGGACTCTAAAGTCTTGTACAGTACCTTATTCCTATCCTGTATTCACTCACCCTAACTGGCATTAATCTGCCGTGTTGCCAGTGCAGTTGCTGATTCCTGCCCGTGTTTCACAGCTCTCCTGCTGCAGCCATGGGGCGGGTGCGACTGATCAAATGCATAATGTCACCATTTCTGGGTGCAGGGCAGTTCTCACGCAGGCACAGGTCCTGTCCATGAGACAAACATCGGGGATTCTCAGTGTCCCACGTGGATACTTACCCTCCAGTATTCTTTTCAGAACTGGATCAAGTCTGCCAGATATGTCTCTTAAAATTTAAGATATGCTTACATGAAATAGAATTTTGTCTTGCTCCTGCGTGTTGTATGTTTGCAAAGACACCTTGAGTTCCTTAAAAATGGTCTCCACAGCTGGCCTCATCTTTTGTTTTCTTTCTCTAAAGAATTAACACAGTAACGTTCCACAAGCGGAGCTCCTTATGTAGCTTTAAATCCTTGCATTTTTTGAGTCCTGAAGCTTGGTTTTTTCAGTCTCTCTTCAATCATGACTTGCTACAATATCAAAGGGAAAGGACCTGGGGGACACACACTGTGTGTGTGGGAAGGGGGGGAGATACCTTGAAAAAACTGGAAGTGTTATTCTTGTTGCACATAAATTGGGTGGTGCTTTCACTGTCTTTTCCCTCCCACTGGTAATATCACGTGCATGTAAAACATGCTGTGTTAAAACTTTTTAAAATGGAAATCATGGTGACATAGTGCTCAAAGGGTTAACTGCAGTTTATTAACAGCTAATGTTTTTAGATTTGCAGTACACAACTGTTTAAATACTGTATTCCTTGTAAATGAAGTAAGAAAAAAATGTTAAGGCTGGTGCCAATATTTTTGTTAATGAATTGTTCAGCGTTGTCTCTCACTACAGTCTGGTCAGAACTCTTTGTGTATAAGCTGGGCCTGAAGCCATTTTATAGCTTGTAGGCCTAATTGTGTAACTTTTCTTTCATAATGGTTTTGTTATAATATCTACTGTCATTTCTTTCATATAAATATGACATGTAAATTGTCATAATAAAAAAAATTGAAATAACTTGATGTACAAAGTATAATGTGTATTGCAGATACAAGTGCTTTTTAATGGGCATTAACACATGCACATACCTTTTTTAGTTTTAGAACCAGCACTGAGTAATGACTGCTGTGTATTGTTCCAGCCCGTGATGGTGCCACTGCCAGCAATGGGAATGGGCAGCTCCTGGTTTATGTTGGTTTTGTTATGGCAGCTCAACTGACAGAACTTTCTTTAAGCAGCTCTGGCTGATGGTGGGGAAGACCTGATGGATTTGTTTTTGCAGCCACAGTGGTTTTCTCTGTGTGTTCCATCTTTTATATACTTTTTATTTCTCATCTCATAGTGATGTTGCAGTCACTTGACAAAAACCAGTGTGCCTGCAGCCAGCACTGTACCCGGGAAGGCTGTGCCAGCAGACAGCCATGAGGTGTCCACGTGGTGCTCCTGACAGAGGAGACAGGTTCATTTATTTAGTCTGAGATGTAAAACCTGGAAAAAATGGGGGGGGAAAATGGAAGTCTGCAGAGACACACTGAAGAAGCAGAAATTCTGACATGTGACAATGGCAATGGACATGGATGATATTTCAGGACTTCAGCAGGAGAAAGTCAGGGAGAAAGAAACAAATCGAAGAAGAGAGTGGCTTCTCTGTGAATTGCTGAAGCCTGTCAGCCTTTATTCTGAATGTATCTGTGGCTGCAGTCAAGCTGCTGCGTGTTTCTGTAGTGACGAGAAATTGCTGTGAAATACATCCTCTTACTCCAAATCCACTGCCAAAACTTTACACTTCTGTTTTTAACAGATTCTGGGTATATAAGTCTGAACTGGGCCACGTTATGGCAGGCTGTGCTGTGGAGAGAAGCAAGCGCCCTGGATGGTGACTCCTGCCTTCTGTGCTAAGGTGACAACTCAGTGAAGGTACCTGCTGCTCTCCATTGCCTCTGAACACGGCCCTGGTTGACTCAATCACTGTTGGACATTCAGTGTTCAGACATCAGGGTGATGATGGATCTTATGATAAAGCTCTTATAGCTGAAGAAAAGTTTTCAGGTAATGCCATTCTGTTCCATTCATGCTTAGAGGAAACATCTGCCTTCCCCCTCTAAGCTTCTCCTAGGTGCAGCACTCAGTACTTGGATGAAGTGTCTTCATTATGTAAATAAGAAAGATGTGGATTTCTCCTCCTCCTTTAGTGCCTCATTCTCAAAGCCAACTTCCTGCCCGGGCTTAAACTATCCTTTTTCCCATTTTCTTTTGGAAGAGTGGTATACCACAGAAGAAGGATTTGCATTTGCATGCAGGAAGAGAAATTAACTCTGTACTACTCCACTGCAGCAGCTTCAACCAGCAGTAATTCAACCTCAACGACTCAGAAGTCTTAATTTATAATGACCTAAAGTAGTTGTGTGATTTGGAGTTAACTACAAAGGTGGTGAGAACTCTCTATGGCTGATAAGACAGTCACATTAGGTGAGAGGGGGTGGACATGAACAGGAGCATTGCTTTATAACCACTAAGTGTAGTGAATGGTATTTCCATGTATTTGAATCTTTTCCCACCTGCTGCCATAGTCTGATCTGTGTTCTGGGTGAATTGCAAATTTTTGTTTCCAGTTGACTGCTTGTCTTGGTGTGGCAAACTTGAAGATGGTTGAGAAATTCCCCTTTCCTCATCTCCTGTTGTCTCTGTTGTTTTTTGTCAAGCTATTCCAGCAACGTTTAGATATCACTTCATTGTGGAATTTGCTTTCATTTCAGTCTAGGTGATTATTTGTATGAGTAACAATTATTTGCATTATTACTTGCGTTAATTAAAATCCAAAATGGGTAGGCATGGTTGAGCAGCTTTCCAAAGCATTGTCAATAGCTCAGACTAAGAGAAGAACTATGCTATGTTCTGCTCTTTGCTATCCAAGACTGTACCTAGGAACGTCCAGAGAAAGGAAAAATGGAGACGTAATCTTGTTAAAATTGGTTCATGTTTGTGTGTACCTTCGTTTGGGCACAGGTAGGCAAATGACTCCTAAAAAGTAAATTTAAACTGATGAAAGGGAAGGTTAACATCCATGACAAACTAGCAACTTGCATGGGTTTTTGATACGTTGCTTTGGCAGGAGTGTTTGCCATCCTGACAAGTCAGGGAGGACGGATGTTTGTGGTGATGCTGTCTCACTGATGGCATTAACAGAAGCATCCCCTGACAGAGACGTACTTCACTGATGCGTCAGTAATCCCTGTTTCTCACTGCAGTAGCAAGGAGAGATGGTGTAAATCTGGGGGAAGAAGCAGGGCCAGTGCTCGAGAGGGGATGGCAGCCTTCCCATCCCTGCAGTGTCCTGTCCTGAGACACTCCCCACTCGCCAGGTACTGCAGTGTCGGGCTCCTGACCCCACTTTCATCACTGCTGGGGGAAATCAACTGGATACCCTTTAAGCAATTCAGGTACTTGTGATTTTCTTCTCTGTATGTATTTATGAGACATTGCGTGCTGGTCACCAGAAATTCCCCTTCCAGCATCCAGTAATGGTAATTGAGAAGCTGCTGTATTTATTTGTTATTTGTTATCTTTCCCTCTGTCACCTGTCCAACGAGACTAACAAGCTGAAACAGATATGGCAGAGATCAGGAAGCATTTGGACGACGTTCTCTAGCACAAGGTGTGATTCTGGTGGTGTCCTGTGCAGGGCTGGGAGATGGACTCGATGATCATTGTGGGTCCTTTCCAATTCAGGATATTCAATGGTTCTGTGACTGCTCTTGGTACTGTCAATTTGGGTTGGAAGGAACATTAAAGACATGCTCCAACTATCTTGTTCCATACCCCCTGCCATGGACAGGGACACCTTCCACTAGACAGATTGCTCAGAGCCACATCCAATCTGGCCTTGAACATTTCCAGGGATGGGGCAGCCACAGCTTCTCTGGGCGACCCGTGCCAGTGTCACACCACCCTCACAGGGAAGAATTAATTCCCAGTATATAATCTCACTCCACCCTCCGTCAATTTGAAGCCTTTTCCTCTTGTCCTGTCCTCTCATGTCCTTATCCAAAGTCCCTCTCCAGCTCTCTTGTATCTCCCTTTAGGTACTGGAAGGGGCTGTAAGGTGTCCCTGGAGCCTTCTCTTCGGAGAACAGCTCTCAGCCTGTGCCCATAGCAGAGGTGCTGCAGCCCTCAGCGATCACCTTAGCGTTCCCCTTGGCTCCTCTTTTCCAGACAGAGGCGACTTAACTCGGACCCCTCCCCCGGGACCCAGACATCGCGTCCCGGGACAGTGACATCGCGTCCCGGGGCGGTGCCGTCGGGTCCCGGGACAGTGACATCGCGTCCCGGGGCGGTGCCGTCGGGTCCCGGGACCCAGACATCGCGTCCCGGGGCGGTGCCGTCGGGTCCCGGGACAGTGACATCGCGTCCCGGGGCGGTGCCGTCGCGTTCCGGGCGGAACCGCATCACAGAGCGGCGCGTTCCGCTTCCGGCGGCCGCGATGGTGGAGCAGGGAGGCGGTGATGGCGCCATGAGCTTCCTCAAGCGCTTCCCGCCGCCGGCCGACGGCGTCCGCCACCAGCAGCCGGACACGGAGGCGCTGCTGGCGGGGCGCAGCCTGGGCTCCGGCACCCTCTACATCGCCGAGAGGTGCGGGGGACACGCGGGGCCGGGACCCTCGGGGCTGCCCGGGACGGCCTGAGGGGCCGCGATGGGGGGGAAGCCCTCAGGGGCTGTGAGGTTCTGTGGGGCGTCTGCTGCTCCTGCTCTTTTTAAACCAGGCAAGAGGGAGCAGCACGGCCAGGGACCCGGGATATTCAGGGCCGGGCTGGATGGAACTTGGAGCAACCTGGTCTAGTGGGAGGTGTCCCTGCCCAAGTCAGGGGCTTGGAACGAGATAACTGTCAGGTTCCCTCACACCTATTCTATAAAACTCAGCACGGTGGAGAACTGTGAACTTGCAGCCCAGAAAGCCAGTTGTATCCTGGGCCACAACAAAAGTAGCGTGCCCAGCTGGGCAAGGGAGGAAATTCTGCCCCACTGCTCTTGTGAGACCCCACCTGTAGTGCTGTATCCAGCTCTGGAATCCCTAGCATGAGGAGGACCTGGAAGTCTTGGAGCAAGTCCAGACACCACAAAGTTGATAAGGAACCTGGAGCACTTCTGCTGCAAGGACAGGCTGAGAAGGTTGGGGTTGTTCAGCCTGGAGAAGAGAAAGTCGTGTGGAGACCTCATGGCAACCTCCCAGTATCGGAAGGGGCATGCAGGGAAGACACAGCGGGGCTCTTTGACAGGAGCCGAAGTGACAGGATAAGGAGGAATGACTTCAAACTGAAAAAGAGTGGTAGATTGGTTATTAGGAGAAAATTCTTTACTGTGAGCAGGGTGAGACCCTGGCACATGTTGCCAGAAAAGTAGTGGATGTCCCATCCCTGGCAGTGTTCAAGGCCAAGTTGGATGAGGCTCTGAGCATCCTGGTCTAGTGGAAGGTGTCCCTGCCCAAGGTAGTGGATTGGAATTAGAGGATCTTTCAAGTGTTTTCCAACCCAAACCATTCTATAATGGTACTTCTCCTCCTTTGACAGGGGAATAGGCGAGGCTGTTGGGTTTCTGCTGTTAATAACTACTTGGTTCTGTGAAGTCTTTCATGTTGCATTAATCACGTGGAGACTGTTCTTACTAGGCAGAAATCAGTCTGGTTATTCTGGAAGATGTTATTTGAGCTCTTTATGGTCTTCTTTCAATTCTCTCTGCATTGTATAGCTCAGGGAGACAGCTTGATGATTTAAACAATGTAATTTTCTTAAACCATGAAAGGGTACTCATATTCTGCAATAGAAGAGCATTGTTGGAACAAAAACATAATTTAAAATGTGCACTGAGGAGTAAATTGTCTTTTAAAAACCTCAGACTGGGAAACTTTTATGAAAGGGCCAATATTGCCCTACCTGAGCTTTTAGTGGTGTGTTGGAGAGGAATCTCTCTGGAATATTGTTCACTGTTTTTTTTAGTTTGGTTACAGCTACTGAATCATGGTTTTAAAGAGTTAAGATTTTTGCTAAGGGTAGAAGTAGTTTCCATGACCAAGATGTAAGCTAGGTAGGTAAATGGTAGGTTAATAATTACTATATGCTTAGGCTAGAGCTAATTGGTATAATTATCTGCTATTATGAACATACATATAGAAGGACATAAAATAAGTAAACCGTTAATTATGAAGCACGGGGCCTGGGATCGTGCCAGAGAGTCATTGAGACCTGATGAAGACTCTCCTGACTTCATCCTTCGAGACCACCGACCCAATTCAAGGGAAGAATTGCACACATGTGAAGGACTAATGGGCTCATTTTAATATTGGACGGGGATGGGAAGTGCTGGGGTTATGCATATATATTGTATGTAAGATCTTGGGCAATAAATAGATGGCAAAGAACCTTGTTCAGGGTGGTCACGCCTTTCAGAGGTGACTCCTGTGCCACCCGCCGGTGAATAAACATACCACTTTCTAACTTTAATTATTTAGAGGGTCTTTGTCCATGATGATACCGTTTTTTTTAACGATTCATTTGGCGAGCCAGGCAGGAGGAGGCTCTGCTCGGCTGTGAGACCAGCCCAGGTAGTGGACCCCTCAGAGTATCCCTGGGATATTCCTGGAGGAGAGGGCTCCGCCACCCAAACTGTTCATCCAGCTGCAGACACGGACTCCTGACTTCCAAAACTCCGGACAAAAGGGTGTGTTTAAAATTGAAACAGTTTAAGTCATGGCCTGTAGGTGTACATGTGTTCAGGAAAGGCCATTGGTAAGTTGTGGGAGATGTCCCACACACAGCTTGTGCCTCTGTGGTATGCTTGCAAGCTTGTTTGGTATCTGATGAGTTGTATTTGGTTGGCAGCAGAGAATCCTGTTGAACTTGTTACGCTGAGCTGAAAGGGCTCGGTCTGTAATTGCTGGCAGAAGGAGATTTTGCCATTTGTTGTGCCGTAGAGGGTCTTTGTCTGTGATTATACCGGTTTTTAACAATTCACTACCAGGGCTTCTGTTTGTGGGGTATCTGCTCTGAGGACATGTAATGCTGAGTTTCCTTGTAAGCTGCTTTCAGTAGACTTTTGTGTGAGGCATCTGCAGGTCTGCCAGCTTCCTCTCCACGTATTTCAAGTTCATCACAGAGCTTTCACCAGTGTCACTTGTTGGGATGAACAGAAAACACCAGTGTTTGCAGGAGTGTCGTGGGAGAATGGAGCATCCAGAAGCACAGTGGGGCTCTTGATCCATGTACTGACTCTCCACCAGCAGCTGTAAACATTGAGGACTGGACTAGGAAATAAATTCCTTGCTCCCACTGCACTAGCTCCTTTTCTCAGTCAGATTTTCCAAGGGAAGGAGTCTTCTGTGACCTTTCCATTGGTTTTGTGCCACCACAAAAGCTTGTGAATGCTGAATTTTGTGCATGGTGGAGGTCTCACTTTCTGGCCCTGAATATTTTTGTTTACTGTGTGACATCATTGATTACAGGCACCCAAATCTAGTTGGAGTTTGATTTCTAGGTGTCTAGAAAAATGTTGATTGTTCTGATACGAAGGAGGCAGCATCCTGGTAGTGACAACCTGCACTGTCTCTTGCTGTGCTTAGAGATGACAGCGAAAGTGGGGAAAGTAAAGGCTTAGAATGTAAGTTGTGAGTGGAGGAATACTCATAACCTGGCTCTGCTGATCACAGAACTGGCTGTTTTTCCACATACAGGCTATACCCACATCAGATCTATAATCCTCTAGGAATTATGACAGTGACTTGCCTTTCATGTCCTCTTTGCTTTGGAAAACCACATTTAATGACTTGAGTTACAAATCACACTCTAGAACCTCTGTAGTTTTCTCTGGAATGATAGATATCTGCAGGGAGGAAAAAATGGAGAGGCAGAGAGGAAAGTTCAGCATTTAGTGCAAATGTGAAAGCTAGGATGCATTTAGTGTTCTTAGCTTCACATTCTTTAGGCAAAGGTGTCTTTTATCTCAGCCATCAGTTAATGCTGCTGCAAAGTCCTGTTCAGGCAGGTCCAGGATCATGTATGCCCACAGGGTGGGCTAAGTGCCTTGTCCACAATTACAATTACAATTACAATTACAATTACAATTACACACCTTTTGGGGTTGGTTGGCTTGAATCAGATACTGTGGATTCCTCTGTTAGTTTCTAACTTGTCTTTTCTTTTTTTCCCTCTCTTGTTAGTCGCCTGTCTTGGCTGGAAAACTCTGGAGTTGGCTTCTCCTTGGATTACCCCACCATAAGTTTACATGCTGTCTCCAGGGACCTGAGCGCCTATCCAAGGGAGCACTTGTACGTCATGGTGAACGCCAAGTTCGAAGGTAAGGAGTGTTGCTTGCTGCTGCCATGCAGTCCTGAGTGACAGGATTTCCTCCTCAGAAGGAGGAAATGTTGATTTTAAGTAATTGCTTGTATATTCTTTTTTATTTTCCTGAAAGACAGTTATTTTAAAAGCACAGCTTTGCATGTGTTTAGAGTCATTTCTTTATAGTTCTGCTCCCGCTTGTGGTGCTGAGAATCACTTTTCTGCCCTCTTACACTCTTTTGAACACTTTAGTTCCTCTGCCAGTCTCCCTGTGATTCCAACTTGAATAAGTTTTTTTTTCTTTATTGAATTTATGTTAATATTGCTGCCCTCTCCAGGCTTGATGGATTCCTGTTGTTTCACAGCCAGGGAATTTTTCATTCATTTTCTCCCACAGCTTGGTTAAATACAAACAAGAAAAGGCAATAGGTCATGTTACCAGGCGTTAATGAATCTTTGTAGATGGCCCACAAAACCCACCTTTTTGACCATTCTTGCTTTACTGTAGAGAAAGCAAGATTTCTGTTTCATTGTTTGTATGAAGATTGTGTTTATAAATATACAAATGTTTTTCTTCTGGCAGACCTGTTAATATTTTAAGTGTGTGAAAAGCTGCATCACATGAGTGTTAGGTCTTGAGCAGATCTCCTTTTCCCCTTGATGCCTACTGGTCATCACATCAAAAGGTTAAAATCTGGCATTTAATTTTCTTTAATGTATCCAGAAAGTAATAACAAGACTGAGGAGCTGGAGATGCTTTTAAGCTATTAGTGTTCTTCCTTGTTTCCTTCTCTTATGTTACTGATGTTCCCTGACTATCACTACAAACAATAAGAGGACATTTCCATACGCCTCTTGCTTCTTCTTCCTCATTTTCCTTTAGCTGTGGTTATTTTGAAGTAAAAAGACCCTCATCTGAAGAAAGATACTGTTTGTATCTTTTAATTAATTCTGATTATGGCATTTGAAAATATTGATATCCTGTGAAAGCCTTTATCTAGAAATCCTTAATAGACTGATTTTTTATGGGGTTTTTTTGTGGGTATATTTTTTACTATATTAACTCTGCCTACAGTAAATCTTCCACAGTAGGTAGGTTTTACTCTTCAAAGTCTAGCCCTGGTCTGCAATTTTAACTGCTGCATAGTGTTAAACCTTTCCACTTAGTTGGCTTCAGGAGTCTTCATTCTCAGTTGTGCAGGGTACATTGTGTTCTTCCTCTGAAAGTTTTGTGTGTGCTCTGCATATTTGTGCCTTGTCCTCACCCCTTTTTTAGAAAAAGCCACTCAGAGGTTGACTGCATTGAAAACAAAGAGCTGGACTCAACAGTAACAAGAAGTGCCTGCGGGTGTCAGCTGGAAAAGAACTGGGTAGCTTCCTTGCACACTTCATTTTTGGGGCAGCTGGCTGGCAGCTTCTTGGCATCTTCATATTCTTGGTCGTGCCAGTTTTGTGATAAAAACCACTCTCAGTGGAACAGCCTCTTCTCCTGTAGAAAATAATTGTGCACTTTTGAGGCTGTCAGTACAGTGTCCCCAGCCCTGAAGTGAGGAACTGCAGCCGTTTTTGTGGGGTTTTTATTCACAGAAAGTAAAACACCACACTGATGCTTATGTATTCATGTACATGGCGTACAGAAGTCAGGAAGCACCGCAGTTGTCACTGGCTCTGGGTGCACTTTGTCCTTCTGACATCTTGCTGGCTGACTAGGAATGCTGGAAATGGAGCAGAGATCCTGTGCACACGTCAGAATCCCCTGTGAGGGGCCACACTGGAAGCTAGCTGATTTTGTGACAATAATGTTAAGGATCCATTAAAAAATCCGTATGATTTAAAAAATGATAACAATTGTGAACTGGGGTTTTTGAGCACTGTTGTTTTTAATAAGAATCAGGCAGTTTTCTTGGAATACTTGAATACATTGTGTGACCAGTACAGAAATCTTTACTCCTTTAAGTTATAAACAGAAGTTTTCACGTGTGTTGCGAGTGTTGTTGAGGTGCTATGAGAGGGCCTCTTCTATCCATGTGGGTCTTGGAGTCTCATAGAGTTTTCTGGGAGAACAGAGTGGAGGTTTTGTGCCTCTCTTAGGTTGTTTCTGATTTGATCGTGTGTGTGCTCCTGAAAGAATAAACAAATGTGACTTTTAAAAATTTTTTACGAAATAAACATGTTTCTTCTAAATCTTCCAATTTCTTTAAAGAGGAGACAAAAGAGGCTCCCATGACTGAGGGGGAGGAGGATGACAGCGATGATGACGTTGAACCAATTGCGGAATTCAGATTCGTACCTAGCGACAAATCAGCCTGTAAGTGGAATGGGAATTTTGTTCTACTTTAAAGTCCTGGTTATATATGGGAAACACTTGGGTGTAGAGATGTAAATACCATGATCCTTCAGTATCCTTCTCTAGTGACTTGATTCCTGTGTGCTGGAAAGAACAAAGCAGATTGTTTTATCTGGCTTGAAAATTGACTCTTTCAAGCAGCTGCTTCTAAAGGAAAATTCCAGTGCTTTAAAATAGAGACTGTTGAGTATAAAGACACAGCATGGATAATCTCACTTATATCCATTTGCAGGGAATATGTATGGAAACTGTATTTTTAATTACAAACTCAGTGACAATTTCATTAGAAACATGCTAATGCCCTGACACTACCACTGGAAAGCTGTCATATCCTGCGCAGTGTGGAGCTTACAGTTGGATTCAAACTTTAGTGATCTGATGGATGAGATGCTGCCTTGATTCTTGCAGTAGGTAACCACAGAGAGAATTGTCCAGAGATAAACCTTTATCATCAATGAAATAATGCAAAAGTGCTATTAAGAGACTAAAGCACTGGCCTGGAGATTTGAAACCTGATTTTTTTTTTTTTTTGCACGGCTTCTAGCTTGTTGGATGATGTTTTCAAATACGAATTCACTAGTGGTTCTGCTAAAGGAGTATTCTGACTCCCTCTGGTCTCTGGTCGCGGGCTTTCTTGCCTGTTGCTTTGGGCTGTTGGTGGAGGTTTGTGTTCTCTTGTGTTCCTGCAGTGGAAGCCATGTTCTCAGCGATGTGTGAGTGCCAGGCCCTGCACCCAGACCCGGATGATGAGGACTCAGACAACGACTACGAAGGGGACGAGTACGATGTTGAGGCCCGCGGTTGGTAACAGTTGCTTCTTTTGAAATACCTGCCAGCACTTGGATACCTGGTATCTGTTATAATTGTTTATTACTCATCTTGCCTAAACATCCCTTTTGTCACAGGCTCAGTATAGAAATACATAAACCTGCAGTAAACTTGTAGTTTAGCTGTCGCAAATGGCAGGAATTCAGCAAATGCAGTGTTCTGGTTCTCCAAAGCCCACAGACACAAAGAGCAGCTTTCCTGTTCCCAGTGGCTGTGCTAGCCCAGGTTCAGTGCCCATGCTGCTGTGTGGTCAGTTCACATTGCTGCGTGTATTCTGTACCTGATGCAAGCAGCCTTTTAATCTGTCAGTCAATCTGAGCATAATTTGCCCAACTGCTCCCCTCTTCTTCCACCTCTGCATGTTTCTGGCTCCTAAACATAGGTCTGCTGAGCATAAACTTGTTTTTGCAGAGCTAGAACAAGGTGACATCCCAAGCTTTTACACATACGAAGAAGGATTGTCACATTTAACTGCAGAAGGCCAGGCCACGCTGGAGAGGTTAGAAGGCATGTTAGCCCAGTCTGTCAGCACCCAGTACAACATGGCTGGAGTGAGAACAGAGGACTCCATAAGGGAGTTTGAAGGTAAGACATGCTGTTGTTTTACTAAACAATATGTCTACATCAGTGACACAGCCAGTGGCATTGAGTACACCCTCAGCAAGTCTGCAAACACCAAGCTGAGAGGTGCGGTTGACGCTCCAGAAGGATGGGGATGCCATCCAGAGGGTCCTGGACACACCTGAGGAGTGGGTCCATGGGAACCTCTTGAGGTTCAACAAGGCCAAGTGCAAGGTGCTGTGCCTGGGAACTCCCAGTATCAACACAGACTGGGAGATGAAGGGATTAAGAGCAGCACTGCCAAAAATGACATGGAGATGCTTGTGGATGAAAAGTTGGACACAACCTGGCATTGTGCACTCGCAGCCCAGAGCACCAGTCATGTCCTAGGCTGTATCCAAAGCAGCGTGGGCGAGGGAGGGGAATCTGCCCCTCTGCTCCACTCTGGTAAGGCCCCACCTGGAGTGCTGCATCCAGCTCTGAGATCCTCAGCATTATGGGATATGGACCTACTGGAATGAGTCCAGAGGAGGTAGTGAAGATGATCAGAAGTCTGGAGCACCTCTGCTATGGAAAGAGGCAGAGAGAGATTGTTGAGGTTGTTCAGCCTGGAGAAGAGAAGGCTGTGGGGAGACGTAACTGAGGCATTTCAGTACTTAAAGATGGGGACAGACTTTTTGTAAGGCCAGTTGCTTTAGGACAAGGGGAAATGACTTCAATCCAAAGGAGGTGAGACTCACATGATAAAAGGAGAGATTTTTTACCATGGAGATGGTGAGCCACTTGCCCAGAGAAGCTGGGGATGCCCCATCCCTGGAAGTGTTCAAGACCAGGCTGGATGGGGCTTTGAGCAAACTGTTCTAGTGGAAGGGGTCCTTGTCCATGGCTGCAAGGTCCCTTCCAACCCAAACCATTCTATGGTTCTAGGATATGAAAGTGGTGGTTCTCCAATTTGGCTAATCCATAAATCAGGACTGAAAGTGCAGCGCTGTGGGTGATGCCTCCCTGCAGAAGGTGAGGGATCACCCACATGCCTGTGGCCCAATTGATGCCTTGAGGAGCTGGAACAGAGGCTACACACAGAGTTAAGGAGAATAAAATGGGTATTTATTGAGAGGCCTACGAAAGGCCTACAAAGCCACATCCTAGCAATATAAGTGCCACAGTCGTGGTCCCTGCCTGGATGGCTCCAAGATGGAAGGAAAGGAGGGGGTTGGTCACAAAATCTCACACTTTTATAGGTTTTGGTTAATTTGCATGAACCCACCCTCCACCTATCCACGTAGTTTGTGCTTAGGGCCTGAAGTTTGGAGAAACTGTCCTTGAGTTCTTAAGTAGAATAGGACTGTTTTGTCTTCATCACCCTAGCACATCAGAAAAGCACATCCAAGGAGAACAGTAAAACTTAAAACTAAAGGCATCACAATGGGCACCTTGTTGCCTGCTGTAGATTGAGGGCTGTTCTGTTAAAGAGTGAGCACTTCCGTGTTAAGAACACTTGATTCTTCCTTGTATGATTTTCTGGAACAGTGCTAAAGTGAAGTTGATTTAGGATTAAAAGAAAATTAAACTTACCAGTCTACACTAGGGTTAGGAAGTAGTTTCTGTTCTAAATGAGTTGTTTTTATTTGGGTTTTGATTTTGTTTTTGTTTTTTTTTCTGATACCCTAAATTATAAATTAACCATTATCTTAACAGTTCATGGTGAATTCTAAATCATTCAAACACACTGAAACAGATTTATTATAAAAGATCTATTTTTCTGAAGGATGCTGTCTCTTAATTCTATTGATTGTTCAAACGTGTGTTTGAGAAGTAAAATTTCTTTTTTGTTCAGGGAAAAGCACCTGATTTCTCAGACTGTCTGTGAAAGACTGTCTTTTCTGTGTGCAGTTTTCACTAGAGCAATATATTATCTGCGAGAAGCACAAGGAAGGAGTTTAGTCGCATTGCTTCTTTTTTTATATATAAATTGCAGTGCTTTTTATATGCCCTTGTGCTTTTGAGAGATTGAAAACGATGCAGCAGTTGTGGATTTCTAGAAAATAACTAATTTGTTCTCATCCGCAGGGAGAGGTTTTTAATCTTACTTGTTTTGTCAGTTGTTTTCAGGCTCTCTTTGTTCTGCAGTTTTGAATAAATTTATGTAAAGACAACCATAGGTGATAAGCTCCTGTTTGAGCAGTGCCCTTTGTTTGAAAATTTAGTCAGGTTTCTGAATCCCAAAATTCCAGAAATGAATATAAATTGAACAGCAAGTATGTCATATGTCTCAGAGTCATCTTCATTGGTTTCGTTTACTTTTGTAATCTTATTTGCTACAGTACTAATGCTTCGTTTGCTGCAATTATAAATATCCCCATGGATGCTCAGAATCAGAGTTATTTATTTTTTGACATTGTAGCATAGAGCAGTCTTTCTTTTCAATGATTGTTTCAGAACAGGATATGGCTTCTTTCTGCTGGAATAAAGTTATTCAAAGGAATCATGCAATTTGTGACACGAAAACTTTATTTAAAACATTAAATAGTTAAAATCCAGTGTTTAAGTCTTTTAATAAGACAGGGTGAGATGAGGTTGTAGGAAGCGGTGACGTCTCTAAGTGACTGACAGATAGAGCTGGAGCAAACCCAGAAACTTTGTGAGCTCATCTGTGTTTCCTTAGGCTGCTTTCAGAAGTTCAGTGAAGGGGTTTTCTGTCCTGGCCACCTCTTGTCAGCAGAGGGCATCCGCTCTCTTTCCCGTGGAAACTTCATCCCTCATCTGCTTGTTTACTGAGCATGGCTGTTTTTTTCAGATGGGATGGAGGTGGACATAGCACCAGTAGTTGCAGGGCAGTTTGAAGATGCTGAAGTCGATCACTGAGGAGGACAGGTGCTGCTGTAAGTTCTTCTGACTTCTCACATCAATGCTTTTCAGTCCTGCAGAACCTTCACTCTCTGTAATTTGTGTAATGTATGTGATCCCACAGGAAGTGTCTCATTATATGAGGGTGATGGTGAAATAGAAGGAAAAGGGAGCTGTAGTTTTCACACATGTAGAAAGATGTTTAATGATCTGTGCCAAAATGCCTACTGGCATAAACAATTACTCTGCAGAGGCAACCTGCATGGATGTTCCTGTCTGGAAGACAGGTCAGCCTTTTAGTTGATTTAAGAATTGTCTGATCTCAAAGGCTCCTAGATGCTGATACATGAACACTATAGGCATCCCTGGGAAGTTACTGTCTTTACTGTCTGTTGTTTTGCCCTTAGTGTGTGGGATTTCCCAGGCTGTTCAGGGGAGTAGGACACTTCACAGTAAGTCCAGCTCTTCCTTCATTATAAGCAGAGCAGGAACAGTTCCTGGTAAAGTTACTGAGCTGTCCAGATGGGATTGCTCTCAGGAGTGAACAACCTAGAGACAACACCTTGCTCAGGAGGTTGTGCCAGAGTGATCCCCTTGTCCTCCATCACCTGTGTTGCTTTTCTCCTCTTAGTAGCATTACAAGATGTGCCAGTGGTTCCTCACTGGTGCTGGGAGGGAGAGGAAGAGCAGCTTTTTCTGGGACTGTCTGTAGAGAGGCACAGGCACAGTGGGGTTGTGATGCTGCCCTTGCTTCAGCAGTGCTTAGTCTGTATGTGCTGCTCAAGGGGTGCTGTGTTGTCCCAGTTCTGCCTATGTCAGGAGGGAGACTGACAGCTCGTACCTTAAAGTGAAGGTCTTACCTTAAAGTGAGTGTCCAACTATCCCACTTGAAATGCCAGAGGGAGTAGCTATGGAGCAGACAGCCAAAGGCTCAGGGGAGGAAGGAAGAAAGGGACACCAAAAGGAGTGTGACACACTGAAAGAAAAGTGGGAAAGTAGTTGATTAGGGATTACAGTGTCACAAAGAAAGAGGCTGCAGTCCCCGAGGAGGGCTGTTGTGGAGGGGTGCTCCACGGCTGCATTCCTTTTCTGTTGCTTATTTTTCTTTGCTGCTGCAGTTCTGAAAGTCTCAGAGTCTTAGCCTTGTATTCTCTTACTGACCTCTACCACTGCTACTGGTCCTGAACTGGTATTTATTGTCTGGTGTAAAAGCTCAAACTTCTGTAGTCTCATTTCTACCCTGGGAAGAACTTTGCAGAACAGAGGACTTCTTAAAAAAATCTACATACTGGTTGTCCTGCCATTGGATGGTCCTCCAGTTTGGTGAAGGACACACTTAAAAATCAGAGAAAAGCCTTTAGCTGTAGATCAGGTGCCTCTTAGTAAGTGAATGGAAATTTAGGCTCTGATGACTCCCATCTCCAAGATTACTTTGGTCAATGGTTTGTTAAAAAAAACCCCACGCTGTTGAAAAATTCAAATTTGACTGCTTTATCTGTTGTCATGGTTAAAATTTAACTGGATTAAGGGGAGCTAGTAGCTGATAGCAGATCTCTTAAGAAGCCTGAAAGTGCTGGTGGAAGTGTGGTAGACTGTTCTTCTAGAAAAGGACAAAATACACCTGGTAAGAAGTAGTGTTGATTAGTGGAATTACTACTCTGCCTTACATAGTACATCATGTGGCTGTGGGAGATGAATGCCATGAGAGGTGACTGGAGAGGATTTCCTCCTGTGCTTCTGCTTGTGCTGATCACAGCTGAGGGGCTGATCCCTGTCAGAGCAGATCAAGTGACCTGCACGTGCAGTGTCAGGTGCTGCAGTGACATCACTCCAGGTAGCAGTTTGGGATGGCCCTTTTTAGAGTAACCACCAGCCTGAGTGTGTGGATGTAATTTAAGGAAGCTTAGGAGTCTAGGATCTAAGGCAGCAATAAGGAATTGAAGGCGAAAAGTGGCAAGGACAGCTCTTGGAGGTCTGTGCTGATCACCTGGCTCAGAGGGTGGCTTGGCCCTACACGCTGTATGTAGGGGTGGAGAGGGAGCATGCTGTGATCTTGTGGGTACTCCATGAAACAGCTTAGCTCTTTTAACCCCCTGAACTGCAGAATGATCTACAGGAACATCTTGTTGGGGATCCCTTGAAAAGCAGTATGCTGCCCTGCCTCCCAAACAATGCCCTTGTGTGATGCTCATGTTGCACGCCACACAAATGAGATGTGACAGTCTGCTGCTGAAGCTCCTGGAAGACTTGCTGGCAGTCGGTGCAGGACATTTCCAGTGTTCCTGCAATGAGTGGTGTTTTGTCTGTGGCATCACGAGGCTGCAGCAATTGTTCTGAAGCAACTGGTGTGTGTGCGTGTGGGTGCAGCGGGGTCTGCCGGGGCACCCTAGTGCCTGCTGTGAGCACATGCTGTCCTTAGCTGACCTGAGTCAGAGCTGCTGCCAAAGGCAAAGAGGCTCAGCCCTTCTGAACATTCATGGGCTTGGAGTAAAGTGCTGATTCTAACTTCAACCAACAGATAGCTACTACTCTGTGATGCTTAATAACCTTTTATTTTGATACCAATTATGTAAACTTGGGTGTCTTGTGTCTTGCAGATTCTTCTTGTGGCACTTCCAGAATAAGCTGTAAAACCGAAGGCATTGCAGTGACTATCGGGAGTTAACCTTTCTTTTAATGACCTAAGTTTAGATATCTAGGTCTAAAAATGCTTGTAGAGATGTTTAAAACAGGGTTTGACATTTGTGACCACTATGGGGTTATTTTAAAAAAACAACAAAATAAAAAAAAACAACAAAACCTCTTGCATCTAACGCTTGAATGGGGCTAATCAGGGGTCATTTCATAGATTCACAGAATGATTTGGGTTGGAACAGACCTTAAAGATCAGCTGGTTCCAACCCCACCTGCCGTGGGCATGGATGCCATTGAGTAGATCAGGTTGCCCTAATCTGGCTGTGAACACTTCCAGGGATGGGGCAGCCACAGTCTCTCTGATCAAACTCTCTGGCCTTTTAAAGAAGCCTTTGTAGGAAATCTAGGACTTCAGAAATAAAACTGTAAGTAGAACAGAATTTTAGATTGTCCTAGAATTTTCCATATTTTTTTACCTGTCATTGACTCTGTGAGGAAGAAAGGGGAATAGAAGTGTTACAACTAAAAGGAAATAGAGTTGGCCAAGGATTAAAAGAAAAGCAAAATTAAAACCTCCTCAAGTAACTGGCTTTATCATTTCAGTGCTATCCCTTTCATTTCTCTGAAAGCTGAGCTTGGATGGTAGAGGAGATGGAATAAAGTCTGTAAAGTCCGGACAAAGAGAACTGCTTTGTGTCTTTGTATTAAATGTTAACATTGTTAAATAAACTAAGATTTTTGTATCTCACAACCAGTTCACTGTTGCAGTTCTCCCTCCTTTTCTTCAGCAAGCGGCTTGAGCCCTTGAGTTTCAGAACTCCATTCTGTAACAAAAAAATCTTCAGTGAAGCCAAAGCCATTTTCATCATTTACCTGGATGTGAAGATAAAAGGGCAGAGAATTTGCGGAGTATGCCTGCGACAAAGTTAGGCAGACACATCCCAAACTTAGGAACCCAGCTTTAGATTGCCAAGATATTGGTCCTGCTGGAGCTCTTCCTGTTTCATCTCTCTGCAGGGTGGTGATTTTGCCATTGGGAAATATCAGCAAATTCAGGTTGTTCCTCTCTTCCCCCAGTACTGAAATGAAAGTCTGAGCCAAACTTCCTCCATTTTTTTTTGCTTTGAAGTTGACATGTAATTTCTTTTTTGTGGGGGGTGGGGGAGATATTGCTATGTTGGCATATGAACAGTTTACTGGTCCTGCAATCTACTTACACGTTAGGATGTGATTTGGTTCCGAGGTACGTGATCATTATAACCAGTCTTTGTTGAATAATTGTTAGGAATGCCAGTCAGATTAGAGATGTCTTAACAGTGCTGTGAACCATTGACACAGCTGAATAAATGAGGTATTCAGCATGTTATGCAACAAGGCATTCTACAGGGATATCTTTACCAGCCCCTTTGTGTACATCAACACATACTCACGTCAGTGTGTGCGTATTTTTGTTCGGGATTCAGAGTTATAAAGGAGGATACAGAGTTGCTTTTTGCGCTGGTGTTTGGAGAATCTTGGCGTGGTGAGATTTTGGGACAGGTAAAACTCTTACCAGCACCACAACTGAGGCAAAAGGCTCATTGAATTTTAAGTCACCATTCACTGTTGAAGCGGACTGGTGGAGTTTTCTTAGTGTGTGTAAATCTGGGTTGGAATGTGGTGTTTCTGTTGTTTTCCATATTAAACATACCCTGACAGATGGGCAACATTAACTCCAGGGGCAGCTGGACTTTTCACAGTTCCTCTTGGCACTCTCACTACATCCAGAAGGAGAATTTGTGTTGTGCTAATGTGGAGCTCCAGCAGCAGACATCTTGTAATGCTTCCAGTCAAATCAATGCAGCAAGATTACTTGAGGTGAGGTGGAAACAAACGCTGAAGGTATCATTGAGAAGTGTCTTGTGTGGATTGACAAGTTTTATTGAAAATAAAACTTTGTATTTAGGCTGTGTGTAAGTGTTCTGGACTTCATAAGCATTCGTTACCTCAAATGCCTGCACTACCAAAACCAGTTAAATTCTTCAGTTCCTAGCTTATGTTTATTTCTCATTATTTCTACCCTTTATTTAGTCAATTTAAGACTTGTCTAATTCCTAGTGATTTTTTTTAAAATTACATTCTGGTGCCTGTAAATACAGCAACTACTTGTTAATCATCCAAATTTGTACCAATTAATTTTAAACTACATGTTGTGCCAAAATAAACAAGGCAGACTTGGCGGAGTCAGATCTGATCTGGCCTCTTCACTTTATGGACTTTGCTTTTGCAGGCCATGAAAAATGATGTGGAAGTAGGGCCTCTAATCTTACAAATCTTGGCTGCCTGTAGGTTTGTATATCTGTTTTCTCTTTTCTTTGTCCATTTTTATGCTCTTTGAGGTTTATTTTTGAGACCTTTATCCTGTGCACTCCATGGCTTCAGAGGAGACATCAAATCATGTAGATTTTGAAAGACTTGTTTCCGTAAGTAATGAGGTGAAAAAAAGTTATTAGGTATGGATCACTTTAAAAGGAGGTAAAAGAGATAGAAAGCAGTAAAGCAAGAAAGGGAAGGTAAAATCCCCAAAAAGGATCTGCTTTAGAAGCAGACTAAGGTATAAAAATAAGTATTTTTTCAGAGGATCACATCTTTTCAGTGCTGGTGTGTGGTCCTTGCCGTGCAGAGTTTTAACAAGGACAAGTTTCCTTTGGTAGATCTACTCACCCTATGGTCGAAGAGCTGCTGAATGATAACCCAGCAGTTCTAGTTCTCTTCAGCATATTAGCAGGCTAATTTTTTTATTATTAATAGCTGAATACAGGGTCATGAATAGGACTCTTGTATGTAAAGCACGTTCATACAGTTGACTTAATTTTGCAATATAATCTTACAGGTACTTTGGAAAAATAAAACGAGAAAAGATTTTATTGCAACAAGGAAGAAATTACATGGAAATACTTATTTCTCAAATTCTTGCAAAAAATATAGTTGACAATAGTAGCTGTTAAAGACTTCATCAGTTTACTGTGAAACCCCCCCCATCTGATTCCCTTTCTCTTCAAATATGGTTTGTAAGGTGACTTGGATGATGAGGTGAGGGACTGAGATCTTTGTAGAATTAGTTAACCATCTCTCCTTTCAAACCAAGTAACCATAAAAAGAAAAACTTAATTTACTCTTAAATTTGAGGAGTATATTTTGGCATGTTTAAAAATTGAGCTGCAGCCAGAAGAAACCTTGTGCTAGAAACAGAGCTTCAGAGGGTTGTACCCATCAGTGGTATTTGCCTCAGCTGAGGCTATAAAGGGCATGCCTGTGTATGTAGCTTTTCTGTAGTTTTTATCTCTGTTATTCTCCTGCATTGCAGATTCATTTGTTTTTTAAAGAAGTTAAGAGCTACATAAAATCAAGGACAAATTGGAGTACTGCATGATTCATCCCTATATACTGTGTATATGTGAAGAGGCAGAAGTAATTGCTGATAAAAGGTAGAGGGTTTTGCCTAAAATGCCATTTGATGTGTGTGTCTACAGAATTTTGTGGTATTTTATTACTGTTTTTTCCAACCAAGGTAAACATTCAACAATCTCCAATGGGACAGAATGGAACAGAGCCTTCCTGGAAGGAAGGGAGGGGTTACTTACCTGCACTCAGGTATTAGTAAAACAATATTGTTCATACATTGTTGTCATTTTAATTTTGGTGTAGGGTGCCTCTAGAAGAGAGCTGTAGAGACTCTTCTAGGAAGTAGTGTAGCCTTTCTTCCTCTCAGAGGTAGATATATGGCAAGTAAGAATATGATGATGTCGGTATAAGAAATCTTCAGCTCCCTTTTTGCAGGTGCTTTCAGTGGGAAGAAATCCAATAAAATCAAACCTTGAAAGGACGGGGTATTTCTCTAAAATTAGTTTTGCATGCTAATAAAGGTCAGCAAATGGCACTTACGGCTAAAGTGACAAAGTTTGCGTTTTAAAAGTCCTTCACATTCATATGGCTTAACTGAAAATGGTGGCAGATATTCCCAAAATCCCAATATGCATTTACAAAATAATTATTTAATACAAAGTGATAAGTCAAATATTTCAAACATGGAATCTGAAAATACAGCATAAAGATGGTATGGAAGTCTGTCAACAGTTCTCTGAAAGCTTTATGTCTGGAGATGTTGAAAATATCTTTTAATGTAGTGTTCCCAAATTTCAGGATTTGATGTCTCAAGATATCTGAGGAAAGAGTTCATCCCATATAAAAGCCACAAGTATTGTACCTGAAATGAGAAGTTACAGAAAAGACCTTTATTTAAATGCATTTGAGAAGGACACAATACTGGTATGGAAAATAAACATTATGTTCAAGTATTTGAGTGTCTAACACAATACAACAGTACTTTTTGCAAAGGAAGCTTTAACAGGCTATTCAAGTGCACCCTGTGAGTTAATAGTCTTGTTTTCCTTAGTATGGTTAATGCTTTGATCTGTGTAAGCCAAACCAAAGGCAGAGTTTGGCTGGCTGAATCCAATGCAGGCACCTTCCTGTTCCTGATCAGGGCTCCTTTCTTTGTAGCTGGATGTATAAATGACTGAACCAGCAGCTTAACCTCCATCCCTCATCTGAGTGTGTTAGCTGTATCTGTTTTGATAACCATGTGATTTTTAGGTGCTGCCAAGTGGGTTTAGGATACTGGGCTTTTTTTGAAGATCATAGTCAGGATTTATTCTGAAGCTGCAAAAATGGTAATGTTAGAGATAGTGTATGATTCTCACAAAGAAACTTCTATCTCAAGTTGTAAGGGACCCATAAATCCAAAGGGGATCCAAATACAGCTTATTATGAACTTTTTTTTACTTTAGGAAAAAAAAAATCAGTTTATTCTTTCAGAGACAAAGAGGATCCTGCTTGATGGTGCTGCCCACATGTAAGCTTGTATTTATGAAGCTTCTTATATCACAAGAAAAGCTTATTGAAAGGGATTTTGTTTAGTCCAGTCTGCCACTCAGTGCAGGACTTTGCCTATGCTGGATGGGTCAGTGAGACTTTCCCTGGCTGAGTCCCAATAACCCCCATGCTGGAGACTGTAGCCTTCCTCCAGGAACCTAATTTCAGTATTGCTGCACCCTTCCTCCTGAATGTTTTCCTGGAGTCTAAGCTGAACTTCCCATGCCCCTGTTTGTGGCCTTGCTGTTATTTGCTGCCAAAAAGAACGGTTAATCTCTTGTAACTACTCTTGAAATACTGCTTGAAACACTTAAGCACGCTTAAAACACACTTTCACCTTATTTTTGCAGCCTAAACAAGTCTGGTTCCTTCAGCCTGCCCTCTTAGATCAGGTACTCTAAGCCCTTGGTTGTCTTTGTGGTCCTCCACTGCCTGGATCCTGTTTTTTGACACATTGCTCTTGAACTGGGGGACGCCAAACCACCCATGTTCCATATGTCACCTTACAGGCATTGAGTAGAAGGAGGTAATAATCACAGAATCAATTTATTTGGAAAAGACCTCTGATATCACTGAGTCCAACCTGTGACCAAACACCCCCGTGGCAGGAGACTATGGCACTGAGTGCTACATACATACATTTCCTTAAACACCTCTAGGAATGGTGACTCCACCATCTGCCTGGGCAGATCTTTCCAATATCTAATCATGCTTTCAGTGAAGAAATTCTTTCTAATGTCCAGCCTAAACCTCCCCTGGCACAGCTTATGCCTATGTCTTCTCATTCCATCAGTGATTGCCTGGGAGAAGAGACCTCCCCTACTCCAGCTGCAGCCT